GAAGGCCACTTACTTGATGAACCTCCGCGGAAGCCAAAGTCTTTGGCCAGCGCCATCTTTCGTCTTACTAAACATTAGATTACAAGTCAGCGACATTCTTTGTCCCGGCTCGATTCGTCTGCGATTGATAAGCACTTAATTCCAGAACTTACCTCCGTCAATCCCCTCATGCACCTTCTCAGCATGAGCCAATCCATACTCCCAGACATGGCAGCACCACAAAGCCACAAGCATGTGGAATTGGGCGCGGGTCAGGGTTGCAGTCACGACTAAGCTATGCTGCTTGTCTTCATTGTCGTGCATGATTGCCACAGAGTTCCCCTGAGAGTCTGCCCATTCATGCCCGTCCGTGGTGAAGACGGCTTCTGCGCCTTTGACAAAATTGGTGATGCCGACTTTGCTGGTCTTACCGTAGACATCGACTGGCACCGCGGCGAAGCGCTTCTTTCCTGGGATGAGCGAGTGGCTTTTCTTCATGCCGAGGTCTTGCAGCCCCGGGATGGATCGGGTTTGGCGTTTGATGTGGTACTTTGGGGAGTCAGACGGCAGCCTTGTGTAGCCACCTGGCCCCAAGCGCATGTGCAGCAGGTCGTAAATATGACGTTCGCGTTCTGTGCCGTCTTTCCTGGACTCGATCCGCGACAATTCCACTTCTGTGGTAATATCCGTAAGGTCTGCAATTCCAAGGCTGAGGCGGTAGAGAGGTGGTGAGTCTGGTGTCATTACATGGATAGATTGCGCCGCGAGGATGAGGGTGGTGGGTTGACATAGTTCCTGGCCTGGCTGAGACGCGACCTCATACGTTGGAGGGTCGATACTGATGGATTCGTTTGTTTCTGCCATGATTCTTTTGACGTTTGTCTTGGCTGTAGGATACTTAATAGTTTGTGAGGTTCGGGTCGGCTTCCGAAAATATTGCGGACAGGAAACAGGGGTAATATGTGCCCGAGTGAAGTTGGTGGTGAGATGATGTGCGGAATGAAGAATGACGCAGGACGGGGGATGACGCAGTTAAGCACGATTGGGAAAGAGTACTGCTAAGGCTGACTTCCATCTTTTTAGCTGCAACCGACGACCCGTGTAAGAATGGAAGGTGTTAGGTTGCCTGATGGAAAACTGCCATGCAGAGTGCACCGCCACCGCCCGACTTGGCGGTCGCCTTTCGGTGCTTGGCGTGGTGCCGACCAAGCCCGACGTGTCACCCAGCATCAGAGTAGTTCAACGACGAAGGAAGCAACCGCAATCATAATGGAAAGATATCATAGCATAGTTTCTACTCGACTTCTCAAAAAACACGGCACTAGAAATATTCACAGCGGAAAGAGTTTTGAGTACCTTGGTTAGAATCCTAGGAGTCAGGAGTTTCCCGTACCAAGACAAGCACCACCACCAACAGATGAAAGCCCCAGTTAGACGCAAAGAAGCCCAACTCGCTTAAGGCGCATGTATCAGGCGCAGCAACAAATTGGCCAGCACATGACTCTTAGCGGAGAAGATGAAGATGCAAAAGACCCGGAGAGTGCTGAGCAGTGGGGACATGCAAGATGCGGTAGAAGTCACGCGCGACGATGAATACGGCCACGCTTCCCGCGACGTTTCCACGCACTGGTTTTGGTTACAAATGATATCAATCTTTTAGAGTATGGTGCATTTCCCTGTGGAAAAGTTCAATGTGAGATTGTTTGAAATGAAAAGCTTCTATGGGGGGGAAAGACCTATTAACTCACGTTGCCTTTCTCATTGGGGTTTTCTACGGAATCCGGATATGTAACATGTAGGCAGGAAGTCTCTGGAGTGCAGCCGCATTACAAGTTGCTTCGGATATTGTTGTTAGTGAATTGTCGATTTTATTAGAGGCTCCGTGCGATCTAAGTTTGCCCCCTAACAAGATCTCACGCGAGCTATGACGCTATTGAAACGGAACTCCACAGGCTTCACAGCAGAAAGTAGCTTACTTTAACTACCCAGGGGCGTTAGTCAGCCACATCAAGCGCAAAACTCCCCCTACTCACATAGGAGGCAAAAAAACAAGGTTTCTACGCAAAAAAGGGGGTTTCCAGCTAGTCGTATAAAAGTCGCATTTTTCTCATTTTATTACTAAAAAACATCTTTTTTAAGACTATCCTATAACCTAAAACTATATTTTTTTTAATTATTTCGTTTAATCTTAGCTACTAAGATACTTTACTAAAGTAATACTAACTTAATACTTATTAAATAAGCTATATAAGCGTTATATACTATATAATATTAAGCTTTCTACTTTAGCTACTTTAGTAAGTTTCTATCTATAATACTATTAATCTAAGCTATTACTAAAAACTATAAAGTATCTTATATAATAGTTAAGAAATATCTAAAAACTTTCTAAGCTAGTTATAACCTCTCTATACTACTTAAAGAAAGTAGCTAGCTAAAAGTAGTAATAAAAATTAAAAACTTAGCTTTAATAGTATTTATAATATAGTTTAATACTATTAGCTTCTTAATAACTCTAATTATTATTAAAGAGATAGCTAATACTTTCTAAGTTAGTTAGAGTAAAAGCTTTATTTTAAAGTATTTTATAAGATCTTAGAAGTTTAATTACTTAGAGTTCTAAAAGGGATTAAAAATTAAACTTATTAAAGTTTACTAGAAAAGTACTAAGTTTAATTTAATACTAATTTAAAACTTTTTTAATTAATATAAAACTATAATTTAAAACTATAAACTTAAGCTTTTTAAAATATAGAATATTAATAAGTCTAGCTACTATATTAGCTACTTTAGTAGTTATATATATATTATTTTACTCTAAGGATAATAAAAGTAGAGTAAACTATAAAAAGTTATTAATTTAGCTAATAGAGAGTTATATACTCTTATTAGTATTAATAATACTATTAGAAATACTATCTTAGCTTACTTTATTTTTAAGATATAGCTAATTACTACTTAGGCTAATTATAATATTAATAAAGGTATTTATTTTATATAATCTCTTACTACTTTCTCTAATTAAAAGATTATAATAGATTATATTAAGTATTTTAATATATATTTATTTAAGTAGTTAGTAAAGTTCTAATAGTTTAAGTATATAATAAAGTTATAGTTTAGCGTTAATATATATAGAAACTACTTTAATTAGTTTAAGATATATAGTATAATACTAAATATCTACGCTAAGTTATATAAAGATATTCTCTAAGAAGAATCTAATATAAAGCTATATTATTTACTCCTTCTTAATAGTTTCTCTAGTTATATTAGCTTAGATCTTATAGAATACTATATTAATTTTAATATTATTATTAGTTTTTTTCCCTTTTATACTATATATCTATTTTAACTTATAAATATAGAGGTTTTCTAGTTATTTAAAAAGGTTCATTAAATAATACTATAAAAATCTATATAAAGTAGTAACCTTATTTTTACTTAGAGAAACTTTATTAGTAAGCTTTAGTAGATAATAAATACTATATTTACCCTAGCTAATATTATAATAGGGTTTAAAAAGTTAAGTATCTAGCTAATTAGAAATAATATAATCCTCTCTTAATTAGTTAAATATATATAGTTAGCTTAAGTTAATATTTCTAGCTATTTACTTTACTACTTACTAAATAATAATAAGTTTAAGAGAGCTATATTATAAGTAAATATAATTAAGTAATATTATACTACTAAGTAGAGCTCTCCTATTTAAAAAAGATATAAAATAATTAAAGCTATAATTAGTAAAAGTAATCTATACTATAAGAGAGGTTAAAAGTATATTATTAACTATAATATATATATAGAGATATAATAATATAAGTAGTAAACTTAGTAAGATATTAAACTAGCTTACTTATTTATCACTAGTATATTATTTATAGAGATTAAAAAATATTATAAAAAGTAGGTAATTAAAGCCTCTAAGAAAGAGCTTAAATAGTAATATATTACTATAAAAAAAAAGCTTAGTAATAAGAGAAAGTATTATAAATAGAGTATAATACTAATAAATACTAACTAATTAATAAGTATATAAAGAAGTTAAACTTTATATTATAATTAAAATATACTAAGAGATTTAATAACTATATTATATTTAATTTAAAAAACTTATAATAATATAAAGTATTTAAACCTAAATAATAGATTAATCTTAACTTTATACTACTACTAAAAGAGAGTTAAAATATTATTAAGTATTATATAAAACCTCTTAGCTACCTTAATATTAAAGATCTACTAACCTTAAGAGGGCACTATATTAATAATAGTAACCTAGAAGTCTTTAATAATATTAATAACTTTATTAAAAAAAATAGTAATAATACTACTTTAAGCGTTAATTTAGTTAGCAACTTAAGCGTTAATAATAATAGCGTTAACACTAATAAGCCTAAGTTACTACTATTACTAGCACTAACCCTACTAGCTATACTAATACTATACTAAACACCTATCTTTACTATATAAAAAAGCTTAATATACTTCTATACTTATAGTACTACTAAAAATAACCCTCTAATAACACTTCTATTAATATAAATAGTAAAGAAATAGAAATATATTATTAATAATATAGAAAGTAATAATATAGTTATCTTCTATAGTATATTAACACTTATATAAGATATATAGATATTATATATATAGCTAGATAGCCCTACTTAAGAGTAATATAATAATACTACTTTTATCACTATATAATATAGTTAAGGTTAAAAATTATATTATAAAAAGTTATTAATTTAGTAGGTTAATACTAAAAAATACTACTTTTAGTGATCTAGGTAGAAACCCCCTTTTTTGCGTAGAAACCCTGTTTTTTCGCCCCCTACGTGAGTAGGGGGGCTAGCGTTAGCCTGCGCCGCTTGGACCCCCGGGTACTTCCCTCGAACATGATATCTGCCTGCAATTACCTTAATCTTGCATATGTCTCCGGCTGAAGCAACCAGTTTTACGCCAAAAAGACGCTGCGACAGCACTGGTCACATTTCTCTCAATTTCCGAGTCCGCCCATGTCCGACGATACCGGCGCATCCCCGGCTCATCCGACTGCACCGTCTTCACAGTTCACCTATCGCGACTTGCAGCTTCTATCACAATCTTCGCCAGAATCTCCCTTACGAGTAGTCGCACTCGTCGACTACGACTCTTTCTACGCCCAATATGAGTCGCTCAGGCTTGGTCTGCCCCCCTCCAAGCCCCTCGCAGTCCGCCAGTGGAACGCCATCATCGCGCTGAACTACGCGGCGAAGGAGCGGGGTGTCAAGAGGATCATGTCTGCCGATGAGGCACGACGCATCTGCCCAGACATAGTGCTGCAGCACGTTCCTACTTGGAGAGAGGGCGACGATCGCTGGAGGTACAGGGATGATGTGCTGGATCATCTGAAGACGGATAAAGCCTCCCTTGATCCCTACCGGGGTGTGTCGCGCAAGACCATGCATCTCGTCAGGAAGCTCTTACCAGCTAAGCCTGCTCCGACGATTGAGAGGGCTGGCGTGGACGAGTTTTACCTCGATCTATCAGCTCAAGTCCACCGAACGTTGGTGGAACGATTCCCTACACTGACACCAACCAATAAGAGTCTTGACAATTACCTACCCTTGCCTGCGGCAGACACATCACTACAATGGGGCAAAGACAAAGTCATGATGCCAGCAGACTTACATGATCTTGACGATGTCCTCGACTGGGACGACGTAGTACTCAGTATTGGGGGTAGCATTGTTCGACACGTACGTGAGGAGATCAAAAAGCAGCTGCAGCTCACCACCTCTGCTGGCATCAGCTGTAACAAGATGCTCGCCAAGGCGGCGTCTAGGATGAACAAGCCAGCAGGCCAAACAATAATGAGGCGCAAGTCCATTCCCATCATCATGCCAACCCTCAAAGCCACTTCACTCTCGGGCTTGGGAAGGCAACTAGGTCAGAAGGTTGTCAAGACCTTTGGGTCAGACAACATCCGTGATCTACTCCAGGTCTCGCTCACAGAAATGAGATCGCAACTGGGAGCCGAAGACGGACAGTGGGTGTATAACGCAATCAGGGGCGACGAGAAGGGTCCCGTCAGGCCACGGAGCGAGGTCCAATCATTACTAGCCGCGAAGACCTTCATGCCAAAAGCGGAAAATCTACAACAAGCAGACAAATGGCTCCGAATATTCGCAGCCGACCTCGAATCTCGATTGCATGACCTCGATCTTGACTCTGAAGTGCCCCGACGACCACGAACAATTGCAGTACACCATCACATCAATGGCCGCTTCGGCCCAACACGATCAAAACAGGCACCCATTCCTCCTCAAATCGAGATCAACAAGGAAACCATTTTCAATATGCTGCATGACCTTCTGAGAGATCTCACTGAGCATGGGGAGTCTTGGCCGTGCCTTGGCGTATCGGTCAGCATGTCCAACCTGGATTCTGGATTGCCTGCGCCTCAAACCGGACGCATTACCTCTTTCTTTGTTACCGACAACTCTCGCAGTCCTCGGAAACGGGGAAGAGAACAGGATGTATGCGACGCTCCTGAGAGTCCAACTAAGCGTCAGGCCGCATCATCCGATGCATACAAGTCGCCAAATGCGGCGGATGGAACAGAGGAACATCACTATTTGTGTCCGAACTGTGGCGAAGCTGTGCAACCATGTGATGTTCTCGAACATCTGGACTGGCATGTTGCGATGGAGGTTCAAAATCAACAATCTTAGTGGTCTAGATTAGATCATTATGTATCATATCTTCCTCGCCATTCTCGCCATCGTTGTAGTATTCATTGTGCTCGTCGTCCTTGCCGTCGTCCTCAACCATTCCTGAACTAATGTCAAGGCCTTCATTTATCCGTTGATTTTGAAATCCGTGCCCAATGAAAAATTGACCGAACGTAAATCATGGCGATGGTCCCAACTCGTATGACATTGCTTCAAGATGCAGCATCTCATCATCATCGGCTTTTGGCCATGGCCACCAGCCATCCAGCGGCAAGTTGCCGTATATTTTGTTATAGGAAGACTCGGGACTGTCGCCTACCCACTTGTAGAGATCCTCTACATACCCGCTCGTTCCATCCTTTGCCCATGCGCGAGCCCAACTCATGTTCTTCCTGCTAAGGCCAGTGACGGCAAAGCTGTCCAAAGTAACACGGTCGCGAGCATAGACAGACATCTTTGCCGTCCAAAAAGGGTCGTCTCCCAGGTCCGACAAGAAGAAGTTGCGAGCGCATGTCCATCCCACCTGCGCCAACTCTTTGGGCTCCTTGCGGTGATCCAGGGTATGGGTGTAAGTGGCTTTGAAGTTGAAGTTCTCAGTGGTCCAGAAGAACCCTTCGCGCATGAGTCTTTTGAGGTCTGTGGTTTTGACGCAGAGCCTAACTTTCATTCTCGGCTCGGTACCTGTTTGGGGCGCTAAGGGGTGCGGTGAGTTCCACGCGAAGATAGCCTGTGGTTCGATATTCTTCCAGGGCGGCGAGTCGTAGAGTTGCACGCGATGCGGATGGGATAATGAGTTGTGATTCGGGGGAGGCCTATCTTGGTAAGAGGTGACGCCGGTTGCCAAGTGCGGGACCGCTGACCCTACATGCTCTCTCATTGTGCGGGTCAACGGTATTAATGCTGATAATTAGATATTGAGGCAAGGTTTGTTCCCAAGATGCTTCGTGTAAAATTGAGCAGGAACTTGTACTTCCTGCAAAGGATGTTTGGAGCCTTTGATAGGTGAGTAGGGACGAACGTATGTCAGATTGGGGGAATGGCAGAGGACACTTGTGGTAGCAATGAATATTATAAGCTGGCCGCAAGCAACCGGAGAAAGAGTCATGTGCTCCACATACGGTCTCGAGAAGCATGGCTTTACGTTCTGCCTGGTGCTGTACTTTCCACACCTTGCTGTCTGACGCACATGCCTGTCCGGCACCCTGAACCTAAACCGCCGTCATCCGGGTATCATTTCGCTCCGTCAACTACATCAGCCCACGTCTCAGCTCGATGGCTCCGTCTCCTCGCTGCCAATAACTGTGTCCTTCTTATCCGCACTCGTCTCTTCGGGTTTCTCGGGCGCCTCCGAAGCCCTATCTTCTTCCACTGATGACTCGGGCTTCGGCCGCCAGTACAGACAGGTACTCGAGAAGGAGGTGTACGTCCCATCCTGAGGAAAGGCGAATTGCTTGTGGGAGTTATGCATATCGCTCATGCACTTGAACTCGCCGTCCTTCAACGTTCCAGCTCTGTGCGTGTCAGTGTAGATCACTTGCACCCAGTGGACAAACGTACCCATCCCAAACATCCCATCCGGTGCCGACGAACATGGCTGGCAACGCCTTTTCCAGCGTAGCCTCGTATATCGGTCGGTACATGTGAATGGCAAACACGAGGGTGTCCTCGTCGACAGCCTCGAAGGCAGCGGGGGACTCGACTACTTCGTGGCCGAGCTTCTCCAGGAACTTGGTATCATTGGGTGTGAATCGCGGTTCTTGGAAAGAGCATGGAATTGTCTCGTTGTAGATGGCAGCTGTTACTTGGTAAGTTTTGATTGGCGTTTGAGAAACGGCAACTATACATACACAGAGCTTCCACGACAGTCAGAAACCCATCCAGCTGTATGTAACTCCTCCTCTTCGCGTCCCAACCGCCGTCCTCGGGGTCAAACGTGCCGACTCCCAGACAGACTGCCTTCTTTACCCTCCTCCCGTCGCCTGCGTTGTTCTGCACAAGATCCTTGATTCGCTTATGGCATGTCGTGTCTCGCCAGCGGGCCTTGAATCCCTCGTATTCGGTCGTAATCTCGTCGACAGACTTGAATATGCGGGGTTCATTGTTCCTGGCTGCCTCCAGGGCTTTCGCAGGGACCTTGGGCGGTTTTCGCCGGAACCTCGACTTGGACTTGACGAAGGTCCATTCCTCCTGCGCTGGCTCGCTCCTGGTTTCTGTCGTTGCTGCTGATGTCATTTTGTGCATGCTGGGGATTGTCGGGGTTTGGCGGGGGAAGACGCTTTGGTGGGATGAACTTTTTGACCAGCAGAATAGTTACCGCTTTCCTCGCCAGAATCTTTCAATCGGCAGGCGGTGAAGATGGCAACGGCCTGGTTGCTTATCGCCGATGGCCCAAGCTCCCGCTCCAGCTGCAGCTGCTCCTGCCACCGTCGCTGTCACTCCAGAAGGTCGCACGCCTAAAATCTCACGGCTCCCACCAACGCGGTCGAGAGCCCGGAATAGAAGCATCGAATGCAGGCGACGATCATTCTCACCATCCTTTCCTAGAAATACCAAATCCTCCTTGATTTTTCACAATTCCATGCCGTCTTTCCGCCTTCCTCCGGCTCTAGACATTTGACAATCGACGTCCAGCACAAGTGAGACAAAACGTGGCACGACATCCGGCCGTCACCTCGACCGCCAGGCCAATTTCACAAGACAAAGAAAACCATCCAATTGGGACTCGTTTTCGGTGTTCTCTCAAGTGGCAACGAAGGACCCCGAATGTCCACGCGGCGGGCCTCGATCGGCAGGCTGGAACTCGCAGGTCCGGAGCTCTGCGCCGTCAGCTTACCACCATTCGGCATTCTACCCAACGACATCTCCAAGCGCCGTTGGACAAACCCGTCACCAACACCATCAACTCATCACCTTTTCGAATCGCACGACCCAGAGCACAAATCAGTCTTGCATCTCCCCGAGATCGAACGCTCTCCCACCCCGAAAATCCTGCCTGTCCGGCCCCCAAAACTAGCGGCCCCCATCGCCTTGGATTTTCCCAACTCTCACCGTCCACCATGCGTTGCAATATTCTTCCAGCCAACAGCTCGCAGCTTTCACCTGCAGCACAGCTCCCGCAGTCAGCAGTCAGATCAAGCACAATAGCCAAATGACAAGCCATAGAGAAAAGAGTGTGGTGACATCGCCGCCTGCAGCCCGCACCTCGGGCGCTTACACGCCCCTCGACCCCTGTCGCCCCCAACCACTCACGACCCCCGACAACCTCGAGAGAGATGTGATGCGCCCTCCCATTCGCTCCGTGGCCCCAAATGCCCAGCGCCTCGCCCGCGGCCTCTCTCCCCCGTCTCCAGCCGCCCATTGGTCCCCCCGTCCACCTCCACCCGATGCCGTGAGCGAGCCAGCAGGGGAGGGGGCGGATGGCCGTCCTGCAGGCCCAGCGCACATCGTTACTGGCTCCCGCCGGGCCCCAATCTTTACCGGTGCACTCCAGCGTGCCACCAAACCCCCGTCCAGACCGTCGAGCCCGAGAGGAGGCTCGCCTTCTCGATTGGACGGACCTGCAATGTGCAAACTGCATGGTGCGCTGCGGGAAATGGGATGGGATAATGGGGCCTGCAGCGACGGCGGCGGCTCGCAGCCTGCGGGCCAGATAATAGCCTGACGGGCCGCCCTCGGTGTGCGCAGCGTCCTTCCTTCTCTCCTCCTCTGCTAGTGCGGTGTTGAAATCTCAAGAGTCTTCAAAAAGCTACGAAAGCTGTGATCAGGACCATTTGCGACTGGGAAGAGACGGTGTTCTTTCTCTTGGCATCTTGCGTGGGCAAAAGCAAACATCATACGGACCAACCACCCCGGCGAACAAAACCCAAGGCGGGGTTGAATCGAAGCGAACGGCTGTGCGACAAAGACACAGCTCCCGACGGTTGAGATTCTCGTTGAAGAAGAGGCTTCGTCGTTGACTGTTCTACGAAACACACCTACACTTCACACCCAAAAACAACCGCCAACATGCTCGCCTCAACAATCTCAGCACTCCTCCTCGCCGCGACGGCCTCTGCCCATATCGTCATCTCATACCCAGGATGGCGCGGCAACAACCTCATCACCAACGACAGCTTCCCCTACGGCATGCAATGGACCTACCCATGTACGTCTCTCACCCATTCCTCGCCCCAGCTCTTTCGCCATAACTAACACAAACCCTCACAGGCGGCGGCATGGACGTGACCAAGAACAGAACCTACTGGCCGACAACAGGCGGCGCCCTCTCCTGGCAACCGGGCTGGTTCCAGGGCCACGCGACAGCCTTCATGTACGTCAACATGGGCTTCGGCACCGACGGCCCTGACGGCGGTCCCATCAACATGTCCTTCCCCATGATCCCCGTCTTCCAGATCCTCGGCCCCAGCAAGAACCCCTACCCAGGCACCGTCTGCCTCCCGCAGGTGCCTCTGCCCGCCAACACGACCGTCAAGGCCGGCGACCACGCCACCATCCAGATCGTCGAGCTCGCCGTGCACGGCGCCTCGCTCTTTTCCGTAAGTCCTGCCCTCCTCCCATCATACAGCAAAGTGCGTTTGCTGACCATGCCCAAAAAGTGCGTCGACATCGAATTCGCCGAGCCAGGCGACCCGAAAATCGGCAAGGTCAACGACTCAAACTGCTTCAACTCGCAGGACATCGGCTTCGCGGACGTCTACACCATCACCACCAAGGAATCCGGCCAGGCCGCCGCCGAGGCCGCCACCTCCGGCGCGGAGCCCGGCAGCTCCGTCACGTTCTGGTACATGGGCAAGCGGCCGCAGAGCGCCTGGGCCGTCTTCAGCTGGGTGCCGATCGTCGTCGGCGGGCTGTGGGTGTTGCTGTAAGGGAAGGAGGCGCGTGCGTGATTTGATGGGGAGCAGCTGGAGTGCGATGATGATGAAACTTTGGTAGGGATGGGATTATACCTCGGGATATTATTGTATATTGGCATCAAAGATGGCGTTGGGAGGGATCAAGTCTGGGCGAGAAAAGCCTTACTACTACACTCGTCTTATTATCTAACCGTTTCTTATTTTTTTCAATGAATGAAATCCTTCAGTTGAACATTGAGCGCTGTGACTAACTAATGGGCGGGATCTGAATCTCTTCATTACGTGCTTGGAGATGGACGGGCATTGAACCCAACACTTGTGCGGTTATCGCCTCTAGTCCATGATTTGTGGCCGGAAAAGACGGCGTGTGATGGTGGAAAGCGACGGCGCTTCCGGCACTTGTCCCGGCCGCGTACCCGGACTGGACCTACTTCAACACCCAAGACCTCTGCGAGTGTAAAAGAATATCTCAAGGATTGTAAACATGAATCATGGGAGCGGTTTCATTACGCTCCAAATCGCGCTCTAAGCTAGCTGTCTCTCAATTGCTCATGCTGCAGTTCACCGCATCCCTATTGCGTCCCCGCCGGTGTTTCGCCGTGGCCTCAGCAAGCGCGGGCACCCTGACATCACGCGGCCGTCACTCTCCGGCCCCCCGTGCTGATGCTTATTACTAGAACCCCATCACACCTTAGCTCTTCACAATTGTTGCAGAGCCTCCCTGCCCAGCTCCTTCACCCGGACTTCCGACACCTTATCGACGGCAGACTTGATCCAACCTTCGCCTCCGAGAGACTTGATCTCTGCCTTACTGGTCGAAGCGAACGTGCCTAGTGCGACGAGAGCGCGATAGACGACCTCCGAGTCGCTCTGCTCGGACAGAATTTTGCCGACGGCCGTAATGAAACGCTTGGATTGGAATGAAGTCCTTTCCTTGTGGGCATAGACGGCGTAGTTGATCAAAGTGGTAGTCGCCGCAATGAGGATGTTTCGGTTGAACTGGCCGATGGCTGCACCACCAGACAGACCAAGTACCTTCTCGAGCAGAGTCGCTCCAGTGTCTGCCTCCTTTGCTGCGAGCGCTTCGCCCTTTGGTGAGGTGAAGATGTTGGCAAACGTGCGCAGGGCCATCATCACCGAGTTCTCGTTAGGAGCCGCGCCGTCGGGCGCGTTCAAGGCACTAGACACGGCAATGCGAAGGAATGAACCTTCAGATGACGACGCGTCCGCAGCAAGGGGCGACGTCGCAACGCATCTGAGAAGGTCCAGCCCCGCCAGACGATCCGAGTAGGGCCACAGGGTCACAATCTTGACAGCAAGGTCAATGCCAGCCTGGTCAACAGGCTTAGAGTTCTCGATGGCTTCCTTTACCGCGTTAAGTGTGTTCTGCTCGGTTGGGTTCAAAGCCGCATCCTTCCGACCAGATGAAATCATGTTTGCGTTTATGGTAAGAATCTTCTTGATCATGGCATCGTATTTGCCAGCCGTGATATTCAGATATTCGGCTTGCGGCAAAACCTTGGGCCTCAACTCAGACTCGCCGGGCCGATATCTTGACTCCGTGCCATAAGGATCAGAGGTGGCTGGCGCCGACTGGCCGAGAGTCGCACCTTGGGTGTTTTGTGTGATGAAGTTGGCGACATTGTCGAGATAGCTAATTGGAAGTTCGTTGTCGTTCAGGAACTTCGTGGCAGCATCGTAGGGGTTTTGAGAGAGGTTGTAAGGCAGCTTCAACGGCGGCTTACCATCCTCAATATCGACATCGAAAACGTAGTCGTAGGACTTGCCATTGTACTCGGTCTTCTTGCCGCTGCTGCCCGCTGAGTCGACGACAGTTCCGATGTTGATCCATTGTTGTTGGCCTACAAAAGGTCAGTACTGTCAAGTCTCGCCTCTTGTCTACTGCAATCACTTACTGGCTGACCACTGGTGGGCGGTAATGTTGCCGTTGCCCTGATTGATCATCTGCACCTGACCCTCCTTGGTACCGGACCTCGACTCGAGGAACTCTGGACCAGGAAGCTGTTCCTTGTTGATAGATGGCAGCTGCTGCTGAGGAATGGATGAAGCCTTGACAGACTCCTCAAAGTCGGAAATGGCCTGGGCACCGGCTGCCCGCTCGCTGCTGCGGGTGAAGACTCGCGCAACACCATCGCTTGCTCCCGACACAATATCGCCGGTCTCAGCGTTGACCGCAACAGCCCACACCGAAATTGCAGGGTGAGTAATGGTCTGCACGCAGTCATTGCCTTTCCATACGCGAACAGTGCGGTCCTCGCCGGAGCTGACTAGCTCGCCTGAAGGCAAGCTTGCCAGGGCATAGATGAAGCTCTCGTGGCCATGGAGCTCGCCGACCTGCTGGCCGTTCAGTTTCCACAGACGAATAATGCCATCATTGCTGGCACTGGCAATCTCAGCACCGCTTGGGTGGCCCTTCGGAACTTTGCAAAGGGCGCGCACGACTTCGGGGGTATAGATGGTGGATCGGGGCTCGGCGTCGCCGGCGACGGCAGCCTTGAGGTTGTATATGCGAATGCTCGTGTCGGCGCAGCCAGTCACGACAGTCTCCTCGTCAAGCGCGAGCACGGCCCAGACACTCTTCTCGTGGCCGCTGAGGCGAATCTCGGGCTCCCACGTACTGGTGCTCCACACAATGGCCTGAGAATCCCAGCCTCCCGACACGATGTATGTTCCTTTGGGCGAGACGTCTAGACTGCATACATTCTGGGAGTGGCCGATCAAAAGACGCTCGGCATTGTCACCTTGGCTGGATTGTGGTTGTCTGACTTCGACGATGGTGTCCTTGCCGCCGGACGCGATGAGGCCATCAGGGTATTGCTCGGAAGGTGGGAGGTACGTGACGGAGTTGACGAATTCGGAGGTCTGGCTCGAGACGGAAGGTTCGAAGGAGGGGGGAGAGTCGGAGACCAGGCGCCAGACTCTTACGCTGCCATCGCGAGAGGCGGACAGGATCGTATGGGAAGCTGGGAAGCTGACGGCCTTGACCTGTTGATTACAAAGTGCGTTAGCCGTGAAACAAACAGCAAAGCTTCGTTGCGGGTACTTACGTCGGAGTCGTGGCCAGACAGCTGGGCGGAGAGTTTGTAATCGGCCATGGCTGTCGACTTAGGCCTGGTAGAATGAATGGTACGAAGAAATCGCTGAAGAGGACCAGGTGTAGATAGCTCACACCTCGGTTGATGTTCCAGAGGAGGTGGCTGTTGTCGTGGTGCTGCAACGTGTGGGTGGTTTGGTAATGGTGGCAGCTACACTAGGTACCAGACGATGACGATGGAAGCGGGAACGGCGAAGCTCCACTGCGCCACAAGGGGGGCAGGCGGGGAGGGGCCATTTGGGGGTCGGTGCAGGTGTCCCCCGGGCAATCAACAGCTCCATCCCTGCCGCCTTCCTGCTTCCATTGACTTCCCTGCCAGAACAGGTCAAGCGGCAGCTCACCAGCCACAGTTGGAGAGCTGCTTATCAAAGCACGTGGTGCCATCTCGTTGCGTCCAATCAGCTCCGCCTGAGGCAGCTCCCCGCTCTTTTCAAGCCACAGCAGCTGAAGGAAGCAGCGCGGGGTCAACTCTGTCCTCTTGCAGCAGCAGCACCTCGCTTTCAGTTTCAGGGGTCCATCGAATCTCGGTGCATCAGCGTCCTCCTTCCTTCCAGAACCTCCATCGGCTCTGCTCCGACTCGGGACAGAACCCCACAATTATTTCCTTCGCGCTGCTCTCCCATTTGAAGCATTTGCTTCCATCCACTTTGTTTCGCAGCTGTCTTCTCGATTTCCGTTTTTTTGCTTCTGCTTCTTCCTCCCCTGCGCTGCCCGAGGCGTTCTCTCACGACCCCATTGCATCCTCCACGAACATTTACGACGTTACGGCTGTATTGACTGACTCTCCTTTTTCTTTCCTCGCGGACATTGACTCTCTACCCATCGTACACCTCGGCATTTGTCCCGCGTCAACGACTTCCGTTTGATACCCCCCCTCTCCTCCCCCGACGCACACGTTGCGACAGCGAACACCTTCGAAATCCCTTCAAACTACCAACCACCAGCACCATGGCGACCACACCTTCTGCTGCGGCCGAGACCTCGCGTCAATATGTCCCCCTCACTTGCCACGGCCACTCGCGACCTGTTCCCCACGTCTGCTTCTCTTCTCTGGAAAAGGAAGAGCAGTACTACATGATCTCCGCCTGCAAGGGTAAGCTTGCGACACGCGACCCGGCTTTGCGATCGGCGCAATGCTAACCTTGTCGCAGACGGAAACCCTATGCTGCGCGATGGCCTCACTGGCGATTGGTAAGACGAAGCACATCGACAGCGCAATGGCACTGCTAACTGACTGATAGGATCGGAACCTTCATCGGTCACAAGGGTGCCGTCTGGCAGGCCAGACTTAGTCCTGATGCCTCCAACGCTGCCACCGCCTCTGCTGACTTCACTGCGTAAGCTCTGTGTGACTTTCGACTTGCGAGTGGTGGCTAACGAGTTGTAGCAAGGTCTGGGACACCCACAGCGGCGAGGTCCTCTACACTCTTCAGCACAACCACATCGTCCGCGCCGTTGCCTACCCTCCCGACAACTCTGATCTGATCGCGACCGGAGGTATGGAGAAGAAGCTGCGCGTCTTTGACCTGAGCGACTTTGCTCCCAACCCGAACGATGCCGCCGGTCCTGTGACTGTCCAGGCCTCGGCCGGCTTCGAGATTGGCGAGGGCACCCACACCGGCTCAATCAAGTTCATCGCCTGGACTAAGGACCCTAACACGATCGTCACCGCTTCCGATAACACCCTCCGCTGGTTCGACCTTCCCACGCGCCAAGTCATTCGTCAGGAGGTTCTCGACGGCGAGATCAAGTCTTGCGAGCTGGTCTCTCTTGCTCCCGAAATCACCTCCCCTGGCGATATTGGCGGCGGTCTTCCAGTCCTGGCGGTTGCCGCCGGCAAGTCCGTCTACTTCTGGGGCGGCATCCAGGCCATGGATGAGCTCAAGCGCATGGAGCTGAAGCACGGTGTTGCTAGTGTTGGCCTGGATATCAAGGGACGCAAGTTTGTTGTTGGAGAGGAGCCTGGCACCTGGGCCCGTGTCTGCCGCTGGGACGATGGCACCGAGATTGGTGAGTCTTGCCGAGAAGGCACATTAACTCGTCACTAACAAGCCGCAGAAACCCTGAAGGGCCACCACGGTCCCATCTGGTCTATCGCATTTGCCCCTGACAACAAGCTGTACGCGACCAGCTCCGAGGACGGTACGATCAAGCTGTGGAAGAACTGCGACGGCTTCTACGGCCTTTGGCGTGGCGGTGCCACCAACGCAGAGCGCACCGTGGACTAGAAGAGCACGGCCTCCAGCGTGGTGTCACGCAGCGATGCCAGTGATATCTATTCTCTCCCAAGCAGCCGAGTCTCTTCGGGCTCGCAATTCGACGGCTGCTCGCACTTGAGCAACAACTCCATCTCTGAGACCCCAGCGGCGGCTCATCAGCAGATGGGAAAGTTCCTGGCCTCCGTCACTGATGGTACCGGACAGGAGACGCAGTCGTATGCCCAGATCACCCGTCGTCGTTTGGCTCAGACCAACTAAGCCGATGTCGGGGGTTACGCGCAGGAGGGACTGAGATGTTCCACTTGCCGCCAGATCTCTCGTCGAGCTACAGTGTGCATGGATAGAATACATAAAAACGTTTGAGTTATTAGAGCGAGCCATTGAGGATGACGGCTAGGGTAGATGGTTGCCACCAATGGCGATTGATACCAGAATACACATTACTAGACCTGAGAAAACATCTGAGTCCAAAGTGCTTAAGAGAATTCCTTTATTTCATCTACGCAAGTGTGAGGCTGCCTCGTGTGGAGTCTGTGCCTGAAGTGAATATTCACACGTGCATTTCTGTTTGTCCTTTGAAATGGAGGAGCCTTCTCAATTGCCCAACAAAGAGGGTGAGTAAATCCTCCGACCCTCCAATGCAGCTGATGAGATGAAGCCCTCTCAAACAAGGGCTCAGTGTGCTTATTGCTTCTGCTAGCCATGACTCTGCCACCTTCATCCTTGCCATTGTTGCCTCAACCTCTTATCACTCCTGCTGCTGTCATGTCTAATGTCTGAATATTTGTTGCCTTCATTCTTGATTCCAAATCCGGGGTTAACGTCTCAAACATCGCTTCTCGCCATGGAAGCATTATGAAATCTGACAACCAGATCCCTTGCTTGCTTTGAAAGTAGGCACCCCTCCCATGCCAGGTCTTGAGGGTTACGTTGTAAGAGCGTCAGTAATCCAGCTCCTCAATCTTCCCATTGAATGCAACTGCACCGCAGGTGACAGCTCTGGTGATCCGCGGGCACTGTGAGGCGCCTAAGGAGCTGAAAGATCTGGTGAGGAAGATGGGGATGCTCGAAGTTCGTTCCGGCAGGTTTGGAATCTTGGAATTGGCCTTTTCGAGATGGAGATGGACGATTCTTCCGGAAATCTATCGGGATATTTTGGTCGAGCAGTTGGAGTTCCATTTGCGGGCACTGATGTCGCTTTAAGCCGGCTAAACACACCTGACCAACTACTTAAACGCACTACTACGATACTCTGTCTGAGCGGAGAATACCTTCAACTTAATCCAGCTGTGTGTGCCGATATGACGAGTGATGAGACTGTTGGCATCGAGCTCTGATTCGTAGGTGGTATCCTGCAATCCACGTCTTCGAGGTTCTCAGAGGAAGTTTTCAGTCCTAGGAATGGTCTCTGGTTGCAGCAGGTTGGACACGGAGCTGAAGCAGAACCACATCGAGTTGCAACTCTCTCCGCGAAGGGTGCGCGATGTCAACACAACCTCTGCGCCCGCTCTGAACTGGCCGTCCTTCTCGTCAATGAGCGAATCCTTCAACTTTGAAATCGGCCTCCAGCACTTGTACACGAGCGTGGAAGAAAATAGCCGCTTGATGGAATCAGGGGACTGTCAGGGGCGGAGGCATCTTAGTCTCCACGAACGACTCTTCGTAACCCTTGGGGAGCCACAACTGCAACCTTTACGAGGCCTTCTCGCATGGACCCTATAGGGATGGGCTGCATACGTGCCTCAAGCAAATACACTATGAGCGAATGACTGAAAGTTCGGCTAGCATCAGTTGAGTTATGCACCTGCTCTGTTGGTTTGAGGCCACGTTGTGATCAGCGTTGCTATTTCGTCGGCTGTTCTCGCTATCCCCGTGGGACCAGTCTGTGGAAGTGAGGCTCGTAAGCAGATTTCAAATGACGTGCCGCCGGCGGGGCTCTTGGTCTCAATTTTCCCCAAAGGATACTTATCTCGTCTGCCAAAACCTTCTGCGCATTACCATTGGACGTTGTTGTATCAATTTGCCCCTTTTGAACCAAGATTGAAGCGACATTCATCCGAGCCGAACGACGACCTTGACGTTTATTGCTAAGATGAATGGCAAGGCATAGGACATTATGTGCATACCTCCATCGCCTGCCAGGGAGCCTGTTGAATCAGCAGAGGGTTTGCCCATGCCTTAGGGTCCTCCGTGGTCCACCGATGCTCCGAGTTTGAGAGTTCAGAATCGAAAAGGAATATCTGGGAAGTCATACGCTGGCACTGGTGCAAAGCCGATGACGGTTGTTCTTGTTTGCTGCTGGTCCCGCGGTGTCCGGTGATCGCTGGTGGCATGTATTTTCAGGAGCCTTGACCCGGGTCGAAAAGGGGCGAGCTCGGTTTCTTTGCGGGATGCTCTGCTTAAGCCCATGGACGTGTGTGATTGTGAGACGGGGTCCCTTTGGCGGTGGATCGGGGGAACGCTGGAGGGAAAGGGACGCGAAGGGAGGTGCCGGCGAGGTCTACGGGTCATAAGGTACCGCGAGGCAAGCGGCAGCAGGTGTGGCGGGCACTTCTTCCGTAGTTCTGCTGAAGATACTGGCTTCAGCGTCCCGCCGTAGTGGCCTCAGAAGTTTGCTAGCGCTCTTACAGGTGCTGCACACGCTGAGGTGAGCTGTTAGGCCTTGTTCCAAACTCGACGAGGCAGGTAGGAGGCAGGTAGGAGGCAGGTAGGAGGCAGGTAGGAGGCAGGTGGGAGGCAGGTGCGGCTCAGGGATCGCGCGAACCACTCTGACGGCGGCAGGATTCCCAGGCAGCCCTCAACAGATGATCCAAAGCCCAGCATGCCCGAGAAAGAGAATTCTACATCTTAAATCCGCGTCTCAAGATGTTCAGACGGGAAAGGCGCGGTGGCAGGAGGGCATGTGGGCGGGCGTTTGCGTGGCTGCACGGCGCCTGCCTCGTCGCGCGCAAGCACTCGAGAACCGCTGCAACCAATTTGGCAGTGGAACAAAGCCCTTCCACGGCCCTCGACCCTGGTTCGGAAACTCGATGCAACTTGAGGATTGCGCAAGCCAATTTGAAGATGGCAGAAGTGCGTATGAAGGCTCTTGACACCCACATGCTTACAATGACCGAGCAATGGGACATTATCGCTATTCAAGATCCTCCACCTCAGTTGGCCTTTGCCCATAATTTGTTCAAGAATCACCACATTTGTTGTCGCGGTACCTCCCCTGGCGAACTGGACGCCTTCAACAACCCTTGGGCTATTGCGGCTCATGAGAAAAGCGCACGCCTCAAACGCGACAAGGGCATTTCCAACAAGCTGAAACTTGTGCCTCTCTACAAGGTCGCATTTTTAGTTTCCAAGTCGATTCCTCTCGCTGATTGGGCTGTCGACTGGTACCCTGGCGAGGAGAACGAGCGTCTTTTAGCAACGTTGTATCTTGAAACGCAATTGCCAACTCGTATGGCCCTCCACAACGTCTACAATGCTTACTATGAGGGTCGCACGAAACTGAACGTGGAGGCTTTCATTTCCACCATAACACAAACTGGATTCTGCCTCATCGTCGGAGATCTCAACTTCCCGCATCCATGGTATGGAGGACCTCATGTTATACCCAAATTGGATGCTGTGAAATTTGTCAACGAGCTTCAAGCAGCCCACATGGAATGCCTCCTGGATCCGACAAGAATCCCCTTCACCTGTACGCCCGGCCAGGTCATAGACGAATGCGCCTCGACCCTTGACGTTGGTTTTGCATCGCCAGCTTTCTCCCCACACGTTCAGGATTACAAGTGCCTCGACGTGACCGGCTTCAAATCGGACCATCGAATCCTGGAGACTACCATCGACACAACCCCCAACTTACGGGAAGATGTCTGCTACCAGTGGAACAATGTTCCGCGCAAGGTCTTGCGCCAAGAAATTGGCCCGGCTTTGAAGGCGCTTGCATCACTTCCGCTAGAGACCAGGCTTGACATCGACAACTATATCAAGCGGGTGGTAGAGATCATTATTTGTGCCCGGGAGAAGTTGGCTTTCAAGAGGAAACCGCCCCAGATCACCACTAAGTCCAAGCGCAAGCCCGCCCAGTCCAAACCCCGACCCCAGGAAACACAGCCAAGCAGCTCAACAGATACCCAGGATACACAGCCAAGCAGCTCAACGGATACCCAGGAAACACAGCCAGGCAGCTCAACAGATACCCAGGATACACAGCCAAGCAGCTCAACTGACACCCAGGAAACACAGCCAAGCAGCTCAACGGATAATGACCCCAAAGCAGGCCGGACCTACGAGAATTACCTCAAGGACAAGGACAAGGAAGCGTACCGTCGATACATGGACATCCAGTGCCAGAACATTCACAAGGCGTCCAAGGTCAGTGCCCAAAGGTCCATGCCTCGATCGTTTGGTCACATTCCGGTCTTGGAAGAGCGCCTTCCGGACAATTCGATCCGCAAATACATAGACTTTGATGACAAGGCCGAGTTCATGGTTAGGACGCTTTTCCCAATATGTACTTGCGGCACAGTGCCCCCGTGGGTGTTTGACATCCTATATCTCCCGGGCAACCTCGATGAAACTGAAAGAGCCAGGCGACAGATCAAGCCTGATGAGATCGCTTGCATTGTCCAGAACATGCCTGCGCACAAGGCGGAAGGGAAGGACGGAGTTTCCATCGATGTTCTCAAGATGCTTTTGCCGCTCGAGAAGAATCCTGAGCGAGTGTTTGCTGGCGACGCCGAAAATAATTCCGAAGACATCCTCGATTCCGAAGACATCCTCACTAGCGTCCTTCAGCGGCCCATGCAAGCTTGCCTCAACCTTTCCTACCACCCAGAAGCATTCAAGGAGGCGGTGACGGTGATGATCCGCAAGAAATCGAAACTCTCATCTTCTGCCGAAGGATACCGTCCCATAGCTTTACTTTCTGCTATCGCCAAAATCTTCGAGAGGCTATTTGCTGACAGACTGACCGACTTTCTGATCGAGTCCACTAGGCTTCTTCTTGAGCAGTTTGGTGGCCGAGGGAAGAGCGCCACCCAGGCGCTCGAGTTCCTTGTCGAAGCCGTGTATAGGAACTGGTTCGCCAAAAAAGAAAAGATCTTCGTCACCATCTGCGCCCTCGACATCACGGGAGCCTATGACCGCGTCCGGCGACAACACTTGCTGAATATCCTGGTCAGATACGGAGTTCCCGGCTGGATGGTCAAGTTTGTGGCATCCTTTCTTTCCAGTCGCAGCACCACGGTCAGGGTCCAGGGGCGCCATTCCAAGAAATTCTCGATCAACATTGGGATTCCTCAAGGAAGCCCGCTGTCGCCAATCCTGTTCATTTTCTTCACTCTGCCGCTCCTCGAGAAGCTCAAGGCAATACCCAGCATGGAAACTAACAGGAACGCGAGGCTCCTCCAGTTAAAGGAACTTCTCATTACAACATTCGTGGACGACATCACTCTGTTGGTTGCATCTCCCTCGATCAAGCAGAACAACGAGGCTCTGGCAATATTGTACGAGCTCCTGACCGAATTTGCGGCTCTGAATGGCACCGAGTTCGGCCCCCACAAGACTAAAGTCATGCATATGTTGCAGAGGGGTCCCGCGATCACAGACATGCCCAAGGTTGACGGGTTTCCACCCAAGGCAGTAGAAAGTATGGAAATTCTTGGGGTCACCCTGGACTATCGTCTCAATTGGGTGGAGCATGTCAACAATGTAAGTCACTCTTTCACTACACGATTGTGTTCAGCCGCTGACGATAGATGTTTACACAGGTTTTGTCCAAGGTCCGGAGGAAGATGTTTCTTCTCCGCCGAATCAGCGCAACTACTTGGGGCGCATCGATCTCGGAACTCCGCACGAGGTACATCACCGCTGTTCGTCCCATCGTTGCTTACGCATGTCCCGTTTGGTTTGTGTTGAAGACCCCGGGTGGGCCTCCCTGCAACTGGACTCTGGCCAAGTCTGTCGTCAACCTTTTGGAAACACAGCAGAACAATTGCTTGAGACAGATTTCTGGCGCTTTCCCTCGCGCCTCTGGTCACGCTCTATGCAAGGAATTGTACATTGAGCGGATGTCGGTGTTCCTCCACAGGTGCGCCCGCGCGTACCGGGCCTCGAACAAGGGCACTCCGGAAGGCATGGCGCTCTGCAATCTCTGGGAGCGAAATCACAAGCGCATTTGTGTCAACAGCGAGGTTCTGCAAAGACACCCGTACTGCGTCGCCTACCACGAAGCCAACACGCTTCTCAGGGTGAACGCGCAGATACAGCTCGCCGTCGAGATACAGACTTGGACCGAGCCGCCGGATTCCGTCAGAGGCACGGCCAAGCGGGCCGCGAGGTTGAAGCAAATCATCAAGTCTTTGGCCAAGGACCTGGCAGAACAGAGAATGAAGGAGTCGTGGATCGAGGAATCCAACAAACGTCGCTGCTTACTCGGCAAGCTTGCCTACGACGCTCCAACCTGGAAAGGCACGTATGGGAAACACAACCTCGAGGCCTACAAACCTCTTCGCAAGGCACAGGGTACCATTTTACTGGGCATCAAAACCGGCATCAACGGCCTGAACAAACCATTGTTCGACATGCACGTAAGTCTTTCTGCGTTCCTTTGTCTGCCACTCTTTCACCCAACTCTCTGGAATCCAAACATCGTCGTTTTTGTCTTCTTTCCATCTCTGGGGTGCCCGAAATCCCATGCCTGTTGTGTGAAGACACCTAGCAGGTCAGCATTATCTCCAATGCCCACTTGCTTGAGACGGGCTCGGCTGTCCAAGTTGGCTCAGCTGCCCGTCCTTGTCACGCAATGGCTTCATCGGACGCTCGAATGATCTCTCTACCTGCCCCATCCCCTCTCGCCCTTTCCAGGGGTCATATTCACTCGCCAAATCCTACCTTCCCTTGGGAGTCTCTCTGTTGTGCCCCGCACCCGGACCCCCAACCCTCCCGGGAGAGGACCTTTTCCACCTGTCTTCTTTTTCACCTCCAACCTGTCCCATTGCACACACTCAGTCACCAGGTATCATCTTCGATGCTGACTGCTGCCACCACCTAGCGGAAAGAAACTTTCATGTGTCCTTGTGGGGAGCATGCCCACACCGCAGAGCACCTGTTCATCCACTGCAAACTACTCGACAGACCCCGCGAACATCTTCGCAGGGCCGTGGGTGGCCGTCTGCACTTTCAAGCGCTGGTCGAATGTTACCCGGAACTCGCTGCCAACTTTGCCATCCGTTACTTTGGTCTGGAACAATTCAAATGGACTGCGAAGCACATGCCCAACCCACAATTTCCCGACCTGCACGCAGACAACCGCCTGGCCTTGAGGGACGGCCGCAGACCATCGCCCGGCGCTACTGCGTAACTGGACCTCGCGGGTACATCTAGATTAGCTTCAATACAAACTCTGTTTACCTGTAGGGCCGCTGGCCTTGTATTGTGAAATTTGACTGGTATTGACTGCGAAAGCTAGACTGGTCCCCTCGCCCTCTGCTAACGACCTTCGGGTCACGTGACTGTAGGTACTCTTCCCCGTTCTTTTTCTCGACCTCGCCCTCGTCACATTGCTTTACTGACTGTGCCATGCGAATGGCAAGGTAGTTCAGACTTAGACATCTTGTGAGTTCATGTCCCATTCTCCGGAGAACGCAGGGTCCGATTGCCCGGGCATCTAACCACCAGATCTTCCTGAAGCTTCGCCTCCACGCTCCTCCGTCAGTCAGCACGTTTGCCCAGCCCCCTCGTCAACGAGCCCTGCTGACTTCCGTTCATGTCCTTCAGGACTTCGACCATTACAACGAGCCGTAAGTGCTACCCTTTGGCTGCGTCCCTTTGCATCTCCACTGACCAACGCAGAAGTCAACCGTCTTCCTCCAGCCGCCTCCATCTCCGTCAGTCTCCTCCATCTCTCGTCAGTCTCCTCCATCTGTCGTCGATCAACAACCATCTTCCCCCGTCATCCTCGCAACGCGGGCTCCATTTCCTTTTGTTGCCGTCTGCTTTCGGGACTGACTGGTGTTTCCACCAGAAGGCTCCTCCGAGCCGCAACCGCCCTTCGTCAGTCAGCCCAACCCAGCCCGGGAATTCCCCCGATCCATCATCTGTGCTTTTCGTACCTCATATGTTCCGTTGTTCTCTCTTGCAGTCGCTGACTGGGTTTTCAAAGAGACGCCATATTCGATCCGCGCCCGTCTTCCGTCAGTCAGTCCTTCCTCCGGTCTCATCCTCCCCGCCTGTCGTACCTCATCCATGCATCATCGCTTCCATGCATCATCTCTTCCATGCATCATCGCTTCCATGCATCATCGCTTCTGTTCTTCGTCTTTCCTTTTGTCATCTCTTGCCAAGGCTGACTGGCTTCCGCCCAGAAGTCTCCTCCGCCGTTCGGACGTCTGCGCCGTGAGTAAGGACCCCCCTCTTTTCAACACGTCCAACTGTTCTGACTGGCCGACAGGCTCCGCCAGGCACGGCGGCCCCGAGGCCTCCGTGCCGTCGCGCCGTTGTCAGTGAAGATGCTTTTCGTGTTGGCATGATGGCTTTGGACTAACTCATCCAAGCAGACAACGTCTTCCGCCCTGCCGCGCAGTCTCGACGTGGGTCAGCCTCCCTCTTCGACTCGTCGATGGGGTTTTGTATGTTGACTGACTCACCCAGGAAGAGCCCTGCCGCCGTCAGCCATACTCTCGCCATGTATGTGAGCAACGCCCCAAGACGAGACCGTTGCGCTCAGCTAACTGGTGTTGGAGCAGATTCGCCCTTCCCGACTTACCGACGTTCGTAAGCTGATGTCGCCTTGGAGCTGGGACACTTCAACTAATGCTCTCAGAAGCGCTTAGGCCGCCTTGGCTATCTCGAGGAAGCTTGTGAGGTATTCACAGGCGTTGGGATTGTTATCGGTAGCCTCGACCATGTCCATATCGATCTCGAGGCTGTGTAACTCCGACATATCGCACTTATCGGCCGTCTCGAGCAGGTACTTCCGGGTGAATTCGAGCAGAGGTGATTCATATTAGTCACTCTTTTATATACTATATACTGAAGCTTTACTTTAGTCTTCTTATTGGTGTACAGAAGGTTGCTGTACTCGGAGCCCTTGATTTCGTTCGCTTTGGTCTTGCGGATTAAGTCGTCCAGGGCGGCCTTGTTCAGCCTGCGCGCAGGCATGATGAGGGGGAAAGACATCGTGTAGGTAAGTTTTCAATCCCACTTGTCTGGTATTTTACTAACTTGTCTGTCCCTAGGGTCGTCGCGCGTATGGGAGGATGTGAGGAACAGGCTTGAGGCCTCGTTCGAAGCAGGTAGCCCTCTGGTTCCCACTCCGTTCATTCCTGTCTAATCAGGTTTTGCAGCGGTCGAGTTCTTATGCCATGGCCACGAGAACCCTTTTGGCCACGGTAGGTGCGCTACTCACTCCCATGAGTTTGAGTTTCCAGAATCAGGCTGACTCGCAACATTAGCGAAGAGTCACACCGTTGAGTTTGCGCCCTCGAGTGTAGGTTCAAGCCATCGCCAGGCTCCAGCCGGTATGTCAATCCTCATCTCATTCGCATCCCTCTGCGCCCCATTTGTTTCACTTGATTTCCTGGTCCTGACTTGGCAAGCGAGTACTGTCAGCGTTCCGGTACGTCTCTGCCTGCTTTGCTTCCTCCGTTCCGTTGCCTTTTCCCTTTCTTTTCATTCCCCAGTCTTCGTGACTAACCTACCGGCCAGCGTTGCGGAACGACGCCTTCGCGAGTATGTCTAGCCTTTCAATTGCCTGTCTAACTTCCTTCTTCTGTACTTTGGTTCTCTCGCTTTCCTTTTCTTCCACAGTTGTCATGGCTGATCCACCATCCACAGCGTCGCGAACGACGCGCTCGCGAGTACGTACATTTTCCCCCTGCTTATCTGGATTTTTCCTCTGCGCATCAGCCTTCACCGTGCTTGCGTGACTAATGTATTCAGACGACAGCGTCGCGAACGACGCTCTCGCCAGTACGTTTTGCCGCTCCGCCGCCTGCCCGCCTGCCCTCTTCTGTACAGTAGGCCTATCTCCAACCCCCTCTAAACCATTCTAACGATAACGTCGTAGGCCGGGGATAAGTTAAGCCGAGCGTCAACGACCAGTTATACCGAGATTTGTTTGTTTGCTTTATCGAGATCGGGCACAGGTCAAAGTGCTGCTATTGGGTTTCAGTACTGTGAAAAAAAGTATAGAGTGAACTGCGATACCTACTTATACGGGTTGACCAGACTGCCAACATAAAAATGGGGTTTTTGGCCCCCCAAAACTTTGTTTGTCTCTCCTCGGTGATGTACGTTGTGTAGGTTCTGGCCAAACTTCTTCTGGGGGTCTCGTCATCCACCTTGCAAGCCCCGGAGATGAGTCAGACGCGCCGCCCCGGGGTTATTTAAAACATGGCCTTGGCCTGCCACCCCTGTCTTCAATTCCTTTTCGTCCTTCGTCAACGCTCGACCTTTCCTAGGTCACTAGTGCAGCCCTGAATTGCACTGGCAGCGACATCTTCCCGACTACCCATCACTTCGAATCAACGTCATGCCCCATTTCTTCGACCTGCCCCGCGAGGTGCGGGATCTGATCTACGGCCAATACGTCATTTCCGACGGCGGTTATGTATTGGACTTCGAAAGTAACACCCTCAAATGTGCCAATGGCGACAACATCGACCTTGCCTTCATGCTCACTTGCAAAGCTGTGGCAAATGAACTGAGAACCGTGCCGTTCTCTACAAATACTCTCAACTTCTCCACGATATGCTCAGAAGAGTGCCGCATCACCGCAGGCCGTTTCGATGATCTGGTCGCGCAACTACATGATCAGCTTGGAGAGAAGTTCTTCAGTATTTATCCCGACAATCTCAGCGTCCCGGACGATGTTTGGAGGGAGCTGGTGCAAGACCATCCAAAGTTTGCACCATATATCGAAAGGATAAAAGGCAGGACAACCTTATGGGTCCCAAATGATGAGGGCAAGCTGAGGCTACGAGACGCCTACCGAAATGTCAGTCCTGCTGGCTCCTGTGGAGAAACACCGTCTACTTTCCGCCAGTTCTCTCGTGCCGCACTGTGTACCATTGTGGCACACAAAGACCGGTTCAGCCGCGAGCAATTCGAGGATTTTCAGACCGGAATGTTCGTCGTAGGAGAGAATGTCAAAAAGTATGGTGGACCGCCCCCAGTAAATCTTGAAGCTCTTGTCGAAGTGAACCCCGATCCCTGGGAAGTTCCGACTTCAAAAAGAGTTGAAGAAATGGCAGGTCGCATCAAAAATGATGACCGAGAATTGAAAAGGAAACGGCTGAGGGACTTGGATCAAGTTCTATTTGGTCCGCGTATGCTCGATACGAGCCTGATCAAGTATCACTATTCAGCTGCAGCTACAGCCATACGATTCTTCAGGTCTGTATCAAAGGATACCCGGCTCGGGATCAGAAATGTTCTCCTCAAGGAAGAACGTTTAGCAGTCGCTTTTCCTGAATGCCATGGTCTTGGACTCATTCCATTTTGCCTGGAGAACCCGCAGCTTCGTGTGGAGCGACGCGTCAACATGTGGAGAGCTGTCTTTCCAACTACACTTATGGATCTACATGAAAGACGCTTATTGTACAAGCCCACAGACAGAACATTCCTTCAACCGATGTACGTTTCCTCCCAAGTAGCGATTTGGGTCCAGGAAGCCTTGGAACTTGAACATGCTGGAATGCCACAAGGTTCGTTTACTCTTGTCTTCGATGGTGACTCGTCGTGTTCGGAGATCTTCAAAGACATAGTTCAGCGAGACGCGGCCTGGCAGCAAGCAATCGACATATGCTTGGACCGAAGCATTCTTCCGCCGCTGCGCTGGGACGTAAGGCGAAGAGACGCAAGGCATGAGAAACGTGGCAGGCGGGAGGATCGGACCGAAGTTTTTAGAGAATCAGACAATGCCTGGTACGTACGCGAGGGGTTTCCACAGGCGATAAACGATATCGTAGCTGGGAAGTCCATCGTCAAGTGCAACTTCTGGGTGGGTGATGTATGGGATGTCGAACGACTGGCAGAGGAGAACAAGCAGTGGAGCATGCAGCAATGGAAAACGGCTTGGTATGATCAGCTCACAACGAGACACTTTGAGCCTGATCCGCCCTCTCCTGGCTGGGTACAGCTGCTGTGCGATGACACGTTTGAGACAGGGTTGCCTAGCACTGAATGAGAGATAGGACCTTGTTGCTGTAAACGCTGTGTCGACAGCAAGCACGAAATCAAGAAGAAAATACAGCTGGTTATGTAAATGTGGAAGTGATTGACTTTTTGATGTGTTTGCTTTCTACGTTCGGAGCATCAGCGTCAAGATTGGGGTAACCTGGTCTATTTCAGCTCTCTATGTTTGGTGCGCAATTGAGGAAGACCTTTTTCCTACATACAACAACGCTTTAGGATACTTGTACTTCTTCTCTCAAATATTCAACCGTGGTAAAGCAAGCATTGGCATTTGATGCAATTGTACTTCCCCAAGGATGCGGACTATAGTCTTTCTGAGAACACTGTTATACCACCTGTATGCTTGTATTGCTGCAATGCCAGGCCCAGACGTTTGATTTGCAGAAGTAGGAAGACCAGAATGCAATGTCCTAGAGCGATATCATGTCAGACGGCTGCTGAGAATATTGACAACTTCCTACAGTGGCTTTAATGTACCTAGAGCAGTCCAACTATCAATGCCATCCAATTCTCGTTGCCCCAACGCCGATTTCTTATGGAATTCCTTAACACCAAGATCTCATAGCAGACTGTCCTTCTGCAACCGTTTGGTTCGCTATATCAACATTACTGGAGGTGTCTTATTTAGTTGGAGTCTTTCCCCCAAGTCATTCAAGCTCCAGGTCGAAGTTCGCTAGCCCGCCTGTATTGCCTGAAAGCTACCTAGAGTGACACCAGGTAGCCGACATGGAACAGATTGTTCCCAGAAAAGAATAAGATAGCCAATTTATGAGCGAAAGTCACAATTGACTCTCAACTTCAATTTTCGGTTCCAAAACAAAGAGAATAACAGCCCTGGTGTGCTGTTTGGGAACATCTCCTGTGGACGGCAACAAAGATACCACATGAAATTAAACACAGCCGGAGAACTACTTTCTCTCATGGTCCAGGCTTCATGGACATGTTTTGGAACTCATCTCTGCGCATCCTGTTATCTTGGGTTGATGACGGCTGTACCACTGGTGGTAAACATGATTATAGACAAATTTCGTCGAGCACATATCAAAACGTCCCTGGGAGGGCCGCTCGCGATGAGACTGATAATACAGCGGGCTTCGGAGAGCACAGGAATAACTAGCGCAACGTGCCTTCTGGGAAAATGATGCTCTATTTACTGCAAATGCTGGTGTACTCGAGGCAAGAATCTTAGGGTTGCAAAAATTTAGACTGACTATGGTGGTGGCAGCAGTATAGCGTGTTCAAATACATGACATATTCAAAACGTTGTGCGCGTCCTCCTTCAGTTCAACCTCAACTCGGTTTATCGGGTCAACGTCACAGAATCCTTTTTTGAAGTCACAGATGGATTTATACATTTCCAGATGTACCTATAATATACAAAGAAGTTTACACAATGTTGCATCGGCCGATGCCCAACTTAGCAGTTGGTCTGGATGCCATGGGCGTACATGGCGAAGGAGTCAGCGTTGTTCAGCGCCTGCGAGGTGCTGAGGCCGTCAACGCATCCATCATAGCCGTAGCACACGTCGTCAGTACCGGCGACCTCAGACAAGTGGGTGGACTCGTGGACCAGGACGTAGGGCTGGTCGGCTCCGTGGCAGGTGCTGGTGGAGGCGGGGAACTGGAACCAGTAGTCGCAGACGACGATGTACCCGTCGGTGCCGGGCTGGGCGTAGGCAACGACGCCGTCGCTGCAGAAGTTGCCGACGTCAGTGCAGTGCAGACCGGCTCCGCTCGACGTGCTGCCGAGGAGGGTGGCGGCTTTGCCGAAGACGCTGGCGACGGTGCTCTTGGTGCTCGAAGAGGAGGAGCCGAAGTACTGCTCGACGCGGGTGCCGGCAGTCGCGGCGGTCTGGGCCGCGGTGGCGTAGCTCTTGGCCTTGGAGAGGGCGGCCGTGACGGCGGTCTTCTTGGAGCCAGTGCAGTCGCTCTGAATGGTCACGCGCTTCTCAGCGAGACTCTGGTGGAAGGCGGCGTGGACGGAGGCGGCCTGGACACCGTCGACCTTGGCCTGCAGAACGCCGGAGTCGAAAACGACCTGGCCGACGATCTTGTTGCTGCCCTCCTCGGCGTAGCGAAGGGAGCCGGTGCTGGAGATGTTGTAGTCGCCACCGCTACTCAGGTCGTGGACCTGGGCGGCGTCCCACTGGACCTGGACGACCTCGCCGGCAGCGATGGTGCGGAAGGCGGTGTCGGGGAGGTCAGCATCGTGGACGTAGACGCGGACGCCGGTGAAGGCAACCTTGTTGACTGTGGAGGTTGTTAGATCATGTTCGTTCAGTGTTCTCTACTAGTATTGGGTTCACGTACCGCCATCTGCCGAGGCCGTGGAGAACTGGGCCTTCTCAACGGGAGATCCGTCAAGGATCGAACCAGCCTTGAGCACCCTCAGGGGCGTGGTGCCAGTGTTGGTAATGCTGGCCTTCAATTCGCTGTTGCCGACCTGCTCGATCTTGACGTCGAGGGGCCCAGCCCGCTTGCCAAGGTTGATGGCGGCGCCGTTGGCGAGGGCCGCAAGGCAGGAGATGACGGTGGCGGCCTTCATTGTGAATAAGGAACGAGGAAAAAGAACGAACGGAGTTGGAGAGAAAGAATGGAAATTGTTGATAGGTTCACAACACGAGCTATGCTTGCGGACCAGCGGGACAGGACAGCTTTATGGCTGCATCTTGCACGGGGAGACTCATGTTACGATGGCAATCTTCGCCTATAATACGAGCAATATTTTGCGTAACGGAGAAGAAAAATCAAGGACCCAGATCGAGGCCAAGCCCATTTCCGCCACGGAGAATTAACGCGTTGGTCGGAATGCGGGTGTGCAGCCAAGACGTTCCGATAGCCTCAAACTCCAGAGAAGACAGGACACCGGCAGCCGTGGGCCAAACAGAAGCCGGACTGGCCCCATGGCGGGCCCAGTTACGGAGACCACGGCACTCTAGCTGAGGCTATTCCTCCCTCGCTTGCTTGCAAGATGGAACGGTTGTCGTGAATAGTTGCCCCCTGAGTGTGGTGATCAGCACGAGATATGGGGTCGCAGGTGCCAGGCTCGGAGTTTAGAATAAATAGAGTAGTGGGCCGTTTCGGCGCCTGGTTCGCTGTTTATTTTCACGATCGCTGACCACCAACCAGAAAGCCGCGCTTCAGCCTTGGCAGGCTTGGCAGCGCGACGTTTTGATTAAGGACGGGTTCTGGACAGTCCCATTTCCAGCATTAGCTAATCTCGGCAGCGCACTCCGTATACGTAACCTCCTCCGGCCCCCCGCACCATGTTCCGTCCGCTTTAATATTCAGCAAACCTCCGGTGCCTAACCAAGCTTGCCACCTGCCTAAACCAGCATCAGGGCTGGCGTCGATCAATTCAGGAGTTGCGGCTTGTTCAGTACTCCGTAGCCATACACACGTGCGCCTGAAAAAGCCTCGTACTCCCCTTCAATACGAGCATCGCCATCTGCCGTTGTTCTGCCGGCAAACACCAGTCCCAAGGCACACACAGTCGCTATTGCAAACTCAATCACTGAAGAGGAACCTTTAGTTGCTTGTTTGTTCAGCAATCAGTCCAGCAATCCAGTTCATCGAGACTCAAGTCATCATACATGATCCCTCAGCGCCGCAACCACAGACCCCTCACGTTCCCGGTCGCCCTGATACTCGGCGCCGTCATTCTTCTCACGCTCTATTTCCATTCCCCGATTGAGACTCTGACAATGGCCGACTCGTCGTCCTTCCTCAGCAATCTGGAGTTGAGTGTGTCTCAATCTGCCTCGTCTCCTCCCAGCGTGAAGGTATCCGTCAAAAACACACATCCTGACACTCCCGTGACGATCATAAAATGGAACTCCCCTCTTGACCCAATCGTCCTCGGCCTGGGCCAGGTATCCGTCACTCCGGCTGGTGCCTCTGAGCCGATGCACATCGCTGCGATCAAGGTCGGGCGCAAGATGCCACCCGGGCCTGAGTCGTTGGTGACCCTGAAGCCGGGCGAAAGCGCCGAGAACGTGGTCGAATTGCGCGAGCCCAGGGTGCCAGAGGATGTGTGGAAGGCTGGTAAGGCAAAGGTGTCTTTGAAGGGGAGATGGATGGCGGTATGGCCTGGCTTGACTACGGAGGAGCTGTTGCAGAAGCCTGAAAAGCTGCAGTCTATTGGAGCTGGGCCAGAATCATTGCAGGGAGATTGGGAGACTGAGACTATTGAAGTTGGAAATTGAAGGGCCGACATTTTTGGAAATGCCTGACTCGAGGTTGCCGGGGCTATTGCGATCTTTCAGGGTGGAGAGCAGAGGGATGGTTCCACCAGCGCTTCGCAATAACCTTGACTTTGACAGACTGATCAACGAAGTCGAAGTCATATGTGGGTTTTCAAAGGTTCAGCAATATTTCTATTCATCGAAGGCCTTTTCCGTTACATGCAGACACGGAAGTGTCGAACTCCCTTGTGCCAAAATGCAACTATGTGTTAACTTCATCTATTAGCTCGGCCCGTCGCAATCTCCGATTTTGACGTGTAACAATATGAGACTACTTATGTCATTGAGACTACCGAATTCAGCTTCGCCTTGATACAAAATCTATTCTTAAGATGGTGAGGTATTATCCACAGGTGCTGAGATTTCATTGCAGGCGTTCACAAGTCTTCGTGCCAGATACAGTATCTCGACCAAGATACCTCATCTGGTTTCTCTCGATACGTCTGCCGATCAAATGCGACCCTACTGCATTCAAGAACTTCTAGAAAATATTCGCCGTCTTGCCAGATTTACTCGCGCCCGTGTCAAGACGCAGCTCCAATTAGCCAAAGTACTGCATGCACCTGCGACAATCACAGAACACATGTTGCCTCTGGGGGGTTGGAATGAGTTCCATTCAAGATGAGGTTTCTTTCTTTGAAAGATCGGATGACATCAATGTTTTCACAACAAGTACATGGTGTAATTGATGTGCACAACCCGCGAACCCCTCATTCGGAGTCATTCCCGATCAGCAGAACCCCGCGTGCCGGAGTCCCCTCTCCAAAATATTCCCCCAATTAGCTTCATTCCTATGCCAACAACTATCTTGGCCTTCAGCAAGTTGTTCTCAATTGACCCGACCCCGAAGAAGCGTGTTTCCGTCTAAAATTCACTGCGGTTAAGCAAACCCCATCAGACTATTTCTTTCAGTTGCCTATGTTAATCACCAATTGTTGTGTTTGAAGAGAATTCGATTTGAGATGCGTTAAAGTCCTTTGGCGAACTCATTATCAATGCTCCTTCTTTTCCTGGTTTCGACATGGCTCCGCCTAATCGCTGGGGCACCGCCGCCACCTGATAGCCTTTGGCAGATCTCCCCGCCTCTGAACTACAGCGACGTTCTCTACGCAGGATGGGAACAAATACCCGTCCAGAAGGAGATCCAGATTTACAATGGAGTTGTCGAAAACCGAACCTACGCTCATCACCCGGAACTCTTCTCTGTTGGCTCAAGCGTTTTTCTCATCTACTCTTCAGCTCCGGTTGACGAGGATAGCATGGGGCAAGATGTCTGGATATCAACATCCAACGACAGCGGTCTCTCGTGGAGCACAGGCAAGAGCTTGATGCCGGCCGCCTTGCTTCCTAACCAGACAGAAGCGTACAATTGGAAGTACTGGTGCGATCGCGGGATTGCGCAGCGAGCGTGGCAGGCTCTTACGTTTGTGCATCTCTCCGATGGATCGCTTTACGCGATAGGGCAGTCCGGCAGTCGCTGGTGTCCCGGCCGGTGGACGTCGGCTGGCCGCATTGCGGTTGAGATCTCGCTTGATGGAGAGCCTCTTCAGGACCCTTGCTGGATTGAGAAGAACGAGTGGACTGACTCGGAACTGTACGCGGAAACCGTTTACGGCACGGAATACGGCATGAAACACTGCGCCCGCGCTTGTGAGATCAACTCGATACTTCGCAGGCCAGATGAGGCTCCTGCGTGGTCACCGTGGTTGTACAACAACGGCCTCTTCGCCGCTGACGGCATTCATCAGATGGAGGAGCAGACTTTTGCAGTGTGGCATGACGATGCAGACTCGCCAACAGGAGGTTACTGGCAGCGCCACTGGCGAGACATTACCACGGAAGCGAACAATACCCACTCCGTCTGGGTTGAGTACAACGACGACCCCGAAGGCGACGGCTGGTATCCAAAAGTGAAGAACAAGACGGGAAACAAGATTTACCAGACTAACATCCCGGACGCGAAGACCAAACAATTTCTCGGGCAGATAGACACCGGGGACAGATTCCTTCTGTCGAACCCAAGGTACAACGCTGCCGACCCTCAGCGCCAACCGCTAACGCTTGCGGTGTCTCGAGGAAACGATCAAAGGTACAAGGCAATCGGAGTGCTGCGAACCAATGCGACGAGGGAGATTGTGCCAGATACGCGGGACGGGATTAAGAATCGGGCATTCGGGTTCAGCTATCCCACAGCAGTGCAAGTCGGGGATAAGCTGATCATTGCATACAGCGAGAACAAGGAGAACATTTGGGTCAGCGTTGTTGATGTCAATGTATTGCCGCAAGAAGAGCCTGTGAGTTGATGAGACGCAGTACGGCTATCGATAGAAGGCTTCAGAGCTTGGAAGAATAAATGTGTTAGGAGTCTTCTTGCCGGACGACACTATGTTGAACCGCTCAAAGCCTCGGAAATAATATGGTGATCAGTAGCAGTAGTAGCTGTTGTAAAAAGTTCGGCCCCACCCCGACCGGCAACGGCCCGTGCGTCGGTGTAGACTTGCTTCTCATCATGCGTACCCGTCTCTTTGGGCGGGATCCAATTGAAATGGTGTGTTTTGATAGCTGTGGATGGGTTTCAACTGCGGGATCCTCCCTCAGCTGTGTGATGACGTCGTGTTTTAGTGCGCAGCGTCGAGAGAGTTCAGTTAAGCTTAATGGTGCAAGCGGCCGTGGCGCCACTCCACGGGGACTCGGCCGGCGTTCCGCGGAATACATATCCCGGCCGCCATTGGTAATGGCGCGTCTCCACAACGCCGGACTGATGTCACGATATAACTTTCAGCCGGATACCCCGCCAGTTCATGCCACGACACGACACTTTTCAAGATAGCTTTTGTGACAATTATCCCTTCCTACCATCATGACTGGCCGACTACTCTTCACTGGTGCCACGGGCTTCGTGTGAGTTAATTTGCTTCTGACTTTGATGCACTCTCTGGCAAGATGGAGACTGATGCATAGATCAGTGGTGGCACGGTGCTACATCAGCTTCTCAACTCTACTTACCCCGAAATCAAGAGCTTGTCAATTACCGTTCTTGTTCGGAAACAGGAACAGGTTGATCTTCTCAAACAGAAGGGAATCAACGCAGTCCTCTTCAATGGCCTGGACGACTCTGAGCAGCTCAGAAAAGCGGCCAGCGAGCACGACTATGTCATCCACACTCCGAGCGGATTTCATACCGGCTCCGCCGTCGCGTTGATTGAAGGTCTCGGAGATAGAAAGAAACAAACAAGCAAGAAAGTCTACTTCATCCAGGTAAGCCGTTGGGCCAACGACCGCGATTGCCCGGACAAACAGACTCATTGCGCAGACATCGGGTACTTCCAACTTGGCGCAGCGCACTATCACCAAGACCCCCACCAACGTACATGAATGGTCGGACAAAGAAGACGTGTTCTCCTTCGAGGAGCAGAAGGAAGCCGAAGAGGCTTACGGTCAGCGAACCACCGACATTGCAGTCGTCAAAACAGGTGAGCGCACGGGCGTCACGACATACATCATGATGCCTCCAACCATCTACGGCCGCGGCAAGGGATACTTCAACCAAGGTTCTATGCAGATCCCCAGCATCATTCGTGGCTCGATCAAAGCTGGCGTTCCGCTTCACGTGGGCGACGGGACTTGCCGTCTCGGACATGTCCACGTCACCGACCTTGCTCTGCTCTATGAGCTTGTCCTAAGCAAGATTTTGGCTGGAGACCACATCCCTTCTGGACGGAAAGGAATCTACTTCTCCAATACCGGTAGTCACAACTGGCTTGATATTGCTAGAGGCGTTGGAAAGGCCGGAGTCAAGCTTGGTGCCCTGAAGTCTGCGGAGCCCAAATCTGTGTCATTGGAGGAGGCCTATACCACCGTTTTGCCAGCGCCGCCGCAGGTTGTTGAGATGAACTATGCAGCCAAGTGAGTCAACGATGAATCTCATTAAATGTGGGAAGAGGGTAATGACTAACTTGTCCTTGCAGTTCGGCGACCAAGCCAGTCCTCGCTACTGAGCTTGGATGGAAGCCGCAGAAGACGGAGAAAGACTGGCAGGAATCTTTCGAAGAAGCCTTCCAGATGGTGCTGGACGAGAAGAAACAGTAATTGTCTGACGTTTATCGTATTGGACTTGGTATAAGAGTTTATGTCTAGTTCTAATCTTAGATCATACCAGTTCTTCACATCTGCTTGACCCAATCCGGGGTCAATGATGCTCGCACAGCCTTTCGCATAATCATGATCGTAATTCCCAATACTTAGTACACATACAAGTTCGTGACCCCTCCGTTGGAAGAAGCGAGCATCTTGCGGTTCTGCCTTTGAAGTGCGAAGCGCATTACCCAAGCACACACCACAACACCAAGCGAGAAGCCGATACTGGCCAGCATAGCCTTCAAGTACCTAGGCTCATCGGAGTCGGGCCACAAGTAAGGCGTATAAACACTGGCAAGGTTGCCAAAGGTGTTGCACATGGCGATAGCGACTGCCTTCTTTTCGTCGGTCTGTCCCAATACTGACGCCGTCCATCCCAAGATAATGTTGTTCACGCCGTACGTCGCACCAACAAAGATCATGATTCCGACGTAGCGGACAGTGGTGTTAAGGGTGGCTACGCTCATCGCGAACCCAGCGCAAGCAATTAGCTTGCTCACGGTTGTGTGCCACGTACGTTCGTTGAAGCGCCCGGAAGAGTGCGAGACGAGAATGCTGAGAATACCGGCAAGAATATACGGCGGGCACGTCAGCACCAGCGTAATTGTAGTGTTGTAGTTCAGAGTCTTGACGACACTGGGAAGGAAGTTCTTGAAGCCGTTCGCCGAGAGATGCATATTGTCCATGAGACAGAACACCCAGGTACGCCAATCGGAGCAGGCCTCGCGCAGTCCCTTCCAGACACTGGTTCCACCCTCGCGACGGTCGGTCGTATCGTCAAAGATGCGCTTGTGGGCCATTTGACGTTGCTCCTCGGTGAGCCATCGGGTCTTGAGAGGAGCGTCGGGGAGGAGGTAGAATGCCGCGATGGCAACGACGATAGAGACGGCACCTTGGATGATGAAGAGCCTAGCGAATGTTAGCACGGGAGATGACATAAAGGAGGTTGCGAATCTCACCATTGCCACCCAGCGAGATTGTGCTTTCCATCCAGCCCAGCAAAGACACCAGCGGCAATCAAGCCCGAGAAGGCGCTGGCCAACATGTTGCCGGTGTAGAAAATTGCCATACGCGTGGCAATTTCCTTCCTCGTGTAGAACATACTGAGCATATACAGCGCGCCAGGGTAGAACTTCATGCTGTCAGTTAATGTTGTCCTCATGTAGCCAGCCTCGGGATGTGTGGACTTACGGGAGCCTCAGTAATTCCAAGCAAGAACCTGCAGGCAAGCATCGTCGAGTAGTCATGCGCCATGTACGTGAGCAGGGAGATGATCGACCACGCCAGCATGAACCCTATACACCTCCGTTAGGACCTCGCGTATCTCATCAGAAGCTTGGCATACATACCAGCCATGTACCAAGATGGTCGCACTCGGTTGAGAATCATGTTGGAGGGAACTTGGCCACACAGGTATCTACCGACATTTAGTCTAGTGTGTCTGCAACGCCGAGGATCTCCAACTTACCCGACGAATAGGATGGAAACGCAGGTGTTGTACTGGGTGCCCTTGAGATTCAGGTCTTTCGAAAGGGAGTTGAGCTTGCCATTGATCATGGCATTGCGATCGAGGAAGTTCAAACTGGGGAGTTTACTGTTAGTACGAGTAACGTCTCTGAAAGGCTGTTGCAACTTACAAGTACATCACCCAGAGAATGGGCTTCGCGGAGATTTCAGTCAGTCTCAGAACCACGCGCAAAGTATCTGCCAAGACATACCAAGATGTACCAATCAATCTTTTTGACCAAGGCGATCTCCTTGGGGTCGGTCTTGGTGTGTGCTCCAAACTCGTCGACCTTCGAGTCCTGGTTGGGCTTGTCGACGTCGCCAAGAGAGCCGGCGGTCAAAACGCGCTCCATTTGGCTGACGTCCGCCTTGCCCTCCTCTGATTTCCTTGGCGCAGCCATCTTGGTGTTTGTGTGTCTCCGAAACGAGATTCAGGGCGTCCGTGGTCGTCTAACGTGGTCGAACAGCGGCCGAGTCGAGGTCTTGCGCTGGATGAACGAGAACCTGAGAGCCCAGAACGTCGCCAGGAGACCACTCCGTCTGTGCAGAACCGCCATATATACCGGAGCAAGCTTAATACGAACACCTCTCCCCACGTCTCCGTAGGCTCCGCGTTAGCTCCGCTGAAGTCGTGATAAGGAGCCACATCTGCGTGGAGCCCCCCATGGGGGAAATGGGGTAGATGGGGCGCCGAGCTTTTCCGCTCGTGCGGGGTTTGGGGAAAGAGCAGCTAGCTGGCCGATTTAGACCCTGCGCTAGTATGGACATGGTAAAGGCCCTCGCAGGCAGTTGACAGGGAAGTGTCGTATCGGAAAAGAGCCATTCAACAAGGAGCCTTGCGACCTGAGTCTGGAATGGCAGGTGGTTTGCTTTTCCGTTTCATGGGGGGCCGACACGAACGGGAGCGATGACGAGGCTCACCGCACGGAAAAGCACACACGCTCCTTCAGAGGCGGTGGGGGATCGGGTCAGACAAGTCATTCTTTTCCCAACGCGTTTGATTTATAATTGCGCTGTGATTCCTGTTTCCTGGGCTCTCGCAAAGCCGATCTTGCCGAGGAAAAGCAATGCATCTGCATGCGGTTCAGTCAGTGTGCACAAATGCAACCAGGAGACGCACTTGTCCAGCTACCACGTGTAATTGTGGACCTAAATGCGGCGACTTCTGCGCGTGTCTCAACAGTCGCTCTGCGTAGCGTCGCATGGAGCCGATAGGAAAACACAAGGGTGTGTGCGTGGTCCCTTGCGAAGACTCGGGAGGCTACTGCCATGGGCCTGATGCGAACCCACAACACGGATAAACACATGAAGGTCTCTTCTTTACTTACGAATGCGAGATCTGGTTCGGAGATTGCGGGTCGGTGGAAAAGTACAACCTTAATCATAGGACGTTCCTTCTGAACCCTTTGTTGATATGTGCAGCTTCATTGCCAGTTCATTAGTGCGGCTACGACCGGCAGCTGGAAGAAGCACCGACTGAGACTCTGCGCTGTAACTGTGCTTCTTGAGCAGTGCATGGCCGATAGCCGGATACCTTCCCAAAAGGGGGATGATCACTCAACAGCGATTGATATATGACCCTACGTGTCAATCAAAGCGGCCGAGAAGCAGACCTACTTTGCATAATGGCTTTTTCGTAGTTGGTTATCATTCAAAAGGCCAAAGGACTGATGGATGATTTGTGGAGCTTTGTGATGATGCAAAAGTTCAAGCTCCAAGACCACACATCAGATGCGAGATTTGAGCGCTGCATGGACATCCGGGAAAGCTAACTTGTTTATGATCATTGCGTCAATGTTGCATCTAAAATGCTGGTTTGTGGCGCCAGCAAGTGGTTCAAGTCGATAGCTGACAAATCCACAAGCAGGACGAGACGCTCACGAAGCTCAAGCTGGATCTTTGACTAGGAAAGTTCCCGACCGGCTGCGACATCCTTTAAGGACTCATTGCAACTTGATTGGCCGTCACTCCACCTTGTCTTCCTGACATTACATGATAGGTAGGATCTGAAGAATGCCCGGTTCGCGCACCGTCGTTCGCCTGTGACTTTGGCTTTATCAAGCCGCGGTTAACGTTGCGAGCTGTCTGATGTGAGGCGAGACGCTAGACGGGGTTGAGGCCAGTTTTGCACCGACTCTGCAATTGAAAGGAAAGGAAATCGGAAATGAAACTTGTCTGCACCACCAAGGAAGATGAAGATTATTATTCGTTTCCAATCACTACTGACTTGCTCTAAGCCGTAGTAGCAAAGCAAGATTCAGTGATGCTCCCCAAGTCCCTAGGCGAGTAAGCTCCTGAGAAGCGTGCCGGAATATTACTTCAGCTCTAGGCGAACCACCAGTCCCATCGCCCAAAGCCATTTCAAGGATGTTGCGCAGCTTTATCTGTACTGCTGTGGTGAATAATAGTTCATCCTGTTTGTCGAGAAGGCAGCGGAGAAAACATAGCTCTTCTTTCGTGCTGGTCCCAATCAACATCCACAGCAGCACGTAGTGGAGAAAAGTGCTAATGATGCTGTACGGAGCTGCTTGTTGCAACGTTGGGACAGATATGATGTCGTGAATACTTCTGATAGCCTGGTCGAAAACCGTCAAAAGTCCGATGTATTTGTTCTCCACTGAAGCCGAAAGCGTCCATCTAGACATCACCTGGCCAATATTCGAGTTTTCATGGCCATATAGATAGGGGAGGTTCCCTAATTGACGCTTGAAAAGGTCCAATCCCCGAGCGATCCCCTGTGGTCCGCTTTTTCCGATGGCGTCTTGCAGATTGGATACAGAGATGGCAAGATTGAGATTTGCCAGCGATAGCAGAACTCGAGATGCACCATGAAAGTATTCATTGACCCCCCACGCATCTGGGTCGTGCTTTTCCGCACGGGAAATGAGCTGTTCCCAATACTCAAGGGCGCCTAATGGCGCGAGTTAGTACGGGATTGATTTGATAAGGGTGTCGCATACCTTTTACGTTATATCTAAAGACTCCAGGTCCGGTTTTCAAACCCCCAATTGTAGAGAGGTCAATGTCTCTCTCGTGGTGTTCAAAGTTGTCCGAGCACGTGATGCCTGCGTTCATTGAATGATCATGGGCACAGTCTAAAGCCTGGCTTGCCAATGTGCTGATGACCAGAAACGTAGCCCATGGATTTGTCTTGTTTGTCAAGCCTTTAACGAAACCCGTTGCCGATGTTTTGTTCTGTGGTGGTCGTTCCATTGGACCATTTCGCATAAGTCCTCGCAGACTATTTTGGCTCTCGGTAGCTGACCCCAGTAACATGGGCTCGAGGTCTCGATCGCTTGCACCCAACATGCCTTGCCACAACGTCTCGTTGCACGGAAGTTGCCAATCATATACCTCCGATACGGACATCATGCTCCTCATATTCAGGAGTGCAGGAAACTGGGAATCCACCATGAACACAAACCATCTCACTCGCCGAACGAACTCCGAACGCGCCCAGGCTTTTATTCTGTCCAGGCTGTCGTGTAGATTGTCATCAGTCATACTGTACAAAAACTCGGGAAGGCGCCTGACGTAAGTGACTAGGGCACCTCGACAGGCTTCGGCGACTTCGAAAGCTTCTTTGTTCCCGCACCACAGCCCAGTATAGCACATCAACGAGTACGCATATATGATGTATGGGTCTCGGGTAAATCTTCTATCTCTTTCGATGAGAGCTTGAAGGTTTTGACGCGAGCGGTTGAGCAACAAAATTGAAAAGCGACGAGTCTGCCGTACGTGGCTGTACATCGCGCCTATTGCCACCATAATGGAAAGCAAAGAAGGATGAAGCTCATTGCTGTTGAGAGTCGGGAGATGAAGCACGGGACTTTGAGCGTAGAATCTTTGAAAAAATAGCCCAAAGAAAATATTCGCAATTCCTAGCGGGGGTAAGATGAAGCTGTCTGCTGTTGGCGACTGATTCTCTAAGAAATTGTGGACATTGGCCCAGGTTGCGTCGCTGAAATCGAATCGCGGATTGTGGTTTCGCCGCAATGGATGAGTTTCGCTGATTATGATAGGTCTTGTTTGACGTATACCCTCGGATGCAGGATCCCACGCAAATGCGATGGCATCCTCCTTTGAAGGCATGTTTGGTGGTGAGGCTGCCCGCGATGAGTTTTCGGTGACGTCTCCGGATGTTACTGGAGTGACCTGTGCATTGCTATCAATGCTTTGCATTCCGAAAACATTGAATTGCATGGCCTCAGGTGGCTCCAGGCAGCTCCATAGCTCATGAGCGGCTCCATACGCCGATTGGTTCCCGGGCGCGATGAAGTCATTGGGACCAAAAATTGTCACCATTTCTTGGGAAGCGTCATAGAAATCTTGGGTAAACCAGTCATTTGTATCAAGATGTTTTCCAGTATCCCAGGGACGGAAGAAGCCTGTGAAATCCACGTCCCCATCCACAAGGACTGGTGCACCGTGTACAGCTTGGTTCATGAAGAGGTCCGCCTGACTAGGCTGACCCAACAGGTTCGAACCTACCGCTGGGCGTGGCTCAGGTTCGTTGTCGCCTGGCGTGAAAGAGGTGTCACTACTTGATGAGCCATACTTGTTTTCGAGCACAAAAGGGTATCTCCTCTTGCCTAGAGGAGGCTCGTCTGTTGGTTGCTGCTCGTCTTGGCGTTGGTGGGTGCGTTGATGTTTCTTTAACAAGTCGCTTCTGGAGAATTCCCTCTGGCAGATGTCGCAGCAATGTGGAAGGCTGCCTTGATCTAAAACATTGTGAGCGATTCAATTCCTCTTCGTGGTTAAGGTAATGGATCAACCTCTGTGGTGGAGACCTACGTGATTTTTGATGTCGTTTCAAATTCTCAAGTCGGTTGAATATTCGAGGACATTTTGAGCAGGGGTATGTTCCGGTCTTCCGCTTCGGAGCCATCTTGCGGGGCCAATCTGAGTAGTTGCCGGTCGTCTAGATGCACACGATATGTCTACGGTGGACGTCTTTTTCACACGTGAGACGCCAGCAGTAGATCTGGGTGGACGTCGGCGTCCTCTTATGTTTTACGTCCACCTTTACCCCACAAAGCCGGGTGGACGTCCGCCCACATCGGGACTAGCGTTATCAGCGAAGTCGGATTTCCCGAAACGGATGAAGACCGGGACTGTGTTAATTTACCCCGGATGAGCCGCTTGCTCTTACCTACAAGTTCCACGACACCAAGAGCTCGCAAGTGAGAACGGTGACTTCAAATTGTCATTTTCTTCGTTCTGCTTTCCGAAAATGACTGTCAGCGCTCCCGAAGTGATTGTGCCCAAGAAGGTCCTGTCGGCGTCTAAGGGCGCTGATCGAGACGCTGACTCGGGCACATATACGCTGTCCAATGGCAAGGTTTCAGAGCCCACCGCAAGAGCTAGCATTGTGTTCGACTATGAAATATGCATAGGTGGAATTCCATTCATCGTCATAGAACGCGCACATGGCAATGGGCCGATACAGCTTCAAGCTGTTTACAGCGAGACAATCGGGGGAATTGATTGCGAGACTGGTAAGTGTCTTCATTGACCTACCCTGAGACACAGAGCTAATAAACGGAATGTTAGGAGATGGACCATTCTTTTTCTTTTCTAATGCAATGGATTGCTACCGCAATGTTGCCATCAAGATTGATCCATCTGAATCACAGCAAACAATCAAGGCAAACCTTGCGCAAAGATCGCAGAGATACCTTAAGCTTGTGCTTATCTCCGAAGATGCGTCCGTTGTTATCAGTCGAGTTGGGGTTGAGCTTGTCAGGCCATTCATTGAGCCAAAGGCTTCTTTTCACTGCTCCGACGAAACTCTCAACCGAATCTGGACAGACGGTGTACGCACTGTGGACATGTGCACCGTCCTCAAGGGCGAGACAGCTCCATCATGGGAAGTAACGAATTACGGCACTAGAGTTCTTGGTCAGCACTGGGCGCCCTGTCGACAGGGTACTCGGTGGGGAGACAAAGAAGTCACATTTGAAGTCCGAATTGAACATCTTGGTGCCAGCTGGGGCGTTCATATGGTCGCCAACGGAGTTATCTTTTGCCTCGACATCGACGCCGAGGAGCTCCGAGCGTACGAAGGCCTGGCTGACCAATCTGCGGTGTTCCCCGTGAAGAGCTTTGGAAGTTGGTCGACTCACGGCATTGCGAAGAAAGGAGACTGGATCCGTGTTTCAACGATTACCAAGGGGAATGTCATTGCCGTCACAATCAATGACCGGGAGGTTGCGACAATCGCAGACGTCCAGCTTCGACCAATTCTTGGAGGATCAGGCATCAACACCGGGTCTGTAGCATTTGGAGGACCCAATGGATGGCTGGCAATCTATCGAGACCTTGCCGTGAAAGCTGCCGGTGAGGTCCTGTATGAAAACAGCTTGCGCCTCGAGGACAAGGACAGGACACTGGCTGATTTCCAGGTTGGAACCAATGCCGTGGCTTGCATGATCGATGGAGCAAAGAGAGACAGAGCCACGTTTGGCGGAGATCTGTTTGTCTCTGGTCGTGGAGTCGCTTACGCTGGGCTGGACATGGCCGCAGTTGCCGGCAGCATTGAGCTTCTTTCCAGTCACCAGACCGAGGATGGGTATCTCGGTAACTTGTGTCCCATCCAAGCACCCATCCACACAGGCGACGCCCCACCACCGACATATGCGTTCTACTCCATGACATACGCATGCCTCCTGGTGGTTGCTGTGAAGGATTACTGGTTGCATTCCGGAGACGACAAGGTTGTTCAGCGGTTCCTCCCCGCTGCTGAAAATCTCTTGAAGTTCGCAGAATCACATTTGAATCCGTCGGGCCTCATCGAAGTACACCCTGAACTTTCAAGTAAGATATTTCTAATCTCTATGCCATTTCCTGAATATTTGCTAACAACTGTAAGTGCATTGGTACCCTCTGGGCGGCCCAGTCTTTGGCGCAGCAGGAACGACGAACCTTGCATACTACGACGCATTGAATGCTGTAATTGCGATGACATCTGATTCAAGTCGCAAGTCACAACTTGCTGAACGAGCTGAGAGTCTCAAGAGAAACATACTTCATCATCTGTGGAATCCAGAGACTTGTAGCATCCGCATGGGAATGGCTCTTCCCAGTGACGGCATTTGCCAAGATACAAACGGCTACGCACTATCGCTTGGAATCACGTCTGAACCAGAGAAGACTGCAAGTCACTTGGCGTGTCCCTCAGGCACAAAGCCTGTAGCCTTCAAGGGCTTGAACCACTGGGACAGGACGGGAGTTGTCAGCCCATATGCTACAGGCTTTGCGGTTGAGGCGCTCTTCTCACAACAGAAGGGGCAAGAAGCTATCAAGCTGATTGAGAGCGTCTGGGGCCCGATGGCTGATACTTCAAGCCCCAACTATTCCGGCGGTCACTGGGAAGCAATGACAGCCGAAGGAAAGCCTTTCTACCACGACACGTCTTTGATGCATGCCTGGTCATCGTGGCCTGTGTTCTTGCTGCCTCAATACGTTGCTGGTGTGAGACCTCTGGAACCTGGATGGACGAAAATCCAGGTTGCACCGGTGCTGTCCGGTATCAGCTCGGCACACTATCAGAAGGAGACTTCAAGTGGCAAAGTAGAGGTTGATCTGAATGTTGACGAGGGAGCTGGTAAGATTGGTGTTACTCTGTCACTGCCGCCTGGCGTTTCTGCGGAGCTTTTACCTCCTCCCGGCTACATAAATGAGGGTGATGCAAGTTTGCAGGGACCAGTGGGAAAGAAGTTAATCACTTTTCACCGGGCAGAAATCAGGAATTAGCTAAAGAGCCAGTCAAAGATCGTAGATCATACGCAGAATTTCTACTTAGATTACATTTGGCAATATCGTACACCACCAATTCAACTAAGCATGATCTCCTTTTGCTTCGAATTGTGAAAGGCCTCCTTGAAAACCTTTCCGACACCAACTCTCTCCCATTTCTCATCCTTTCTCTCAATAAGTAGGACATAGAACAGATCCCACTCGCTCTGCTCTCTCTCTTTGGGGATATAGTACGTCCACTCTGGACACTCGTCACGCGTAAAATTCTTCGCTTCAGAGATGGCGATGAACTCTTGCTTGTCGCTCGCTTTGGCTGCCCATTCAGCTTCTAAAACCACTGAGCCACACCAATCGCCCATCTCATCCGCAATATGATACCGCGCCAGACCACTTTCCGTGCCCATGCTAAGAAGCTTGCGGTCATGAAACTGCCGCTCCGATGGGCCGTTATGTTTGATGTACAGCCATGTGTGCCATGTGCGGAACTGCAGTATCGGAAGCAGAGGGAATTCGGAGGTCTCGGGCTTCGGTTCGAAGGGAGCCTTCACGACGCGATACGGATAATCTCGCAGCGTGATGCTGAATTCTTTTTCGTTGTCCTCGAAGAACATGTCGAAGAAGTCCGCGGTGTGAACCGGCGCCGGGGCTGAGACGAGGCCTCCGGAAGCTACTGGTCCAGCGCCGAACAGCGCGCCTTCCCGAGTGATCTTCCTGCGTTGATCACTAGCTCATCTATCAGCTTGCCTGTACATACAACTGAGAAAGTGAAGCTCTCTTTACGCACTACTTCGGAGAAGACGGAGAATGGGGAGGCAACTTCAAACGGTCTTCATATTCATGCCTAGACCGTCGGTCCCTATCTCTGTCGTCTGCGACAACTGGCATTCTGGATCGCCTACAATTTTTATGTCAGAAAGATGACATCTTTGAAGATGCCAAGGTGGTGCTCAATAGACTTACCCTTCCACACTGTATGTTCGACCGACAGGATTAGACGCCCGAAAAGCGGCAGGCTGCCTGTACGAAGTGGCCTCCGTGTACTCCTGATAGAGTGGTTTGGCGTTCCTGGACCTCGGCGCCCCTTGTCTAGACCGGGATCTGGATCCAGCTCTTTCACGCAGTCGCACATCTACGTCAGAATAAGACGCTGAATCATCGCTGTACCTAAAGTTAAGTTTAGCAATAAGATCCAATATGTTGTGCAAACTTCCTTACGAAGAACCACCTGGTGAACCGTCCCGTTGCACTGGGCTTGGAGATCCCCGGCGGCGTGGAAAGTCGGATGGGATACCTATTTTACGATTAGCTATTGCCATTGACTTAGTGGTTCCCGAGCGATATTTACTTCTCTCTGCTCTCTTTTTCGTATACCCTCTCCAGCTGTGATCTTCACTAGCGTCTTCCAGTGACTGATGATAATCCCACAGTGGACGTAGATCGCCGTGTCCATCCCGCACCCACCACTGAATCCAAGTGTGCGTGTTCAGCCACTGGGAAACATTGTCAAGGGCCCCTCCAATCAAGTCATCATGATACTTGGTCTCTCCAATCCATCCCGTCCAAGACCAACTGGGAAAGTCTGGGATTGTATGGTCGTTTTTATTTGTCGAAGACGTTCTCCGTTTAACGGACCTAACGGGTTCCCATAGAAGAGCCAGGTCAAAGTGGGAGCTTGGGAGCCCATGTATGAAAGGCGCATTCATGCGTTCCTCCATCATGTTAGCCATACCGCTGAACGCTGCCTGGATATCTTTGGCTTGAGTCAGCTTTCTCTCGGTGTAGAGCTCGACGCACTTCATGTACACCCAGAATGCACGGTCATCAAGTTGTCGGAACATTTGCATAGGCGCATCGACCAGGTCCAACGACCAACCCGCTCCCTTTTGGTCTCCAAAGATGTCCTCCGACATGCCAGTCGATCGACATTGGAAGTACACCCTTCCGTTGGTGAAGATCAGGCAGCGACGCGAGAGGAGCCGCTCTTGAAATGTCCAGGCCCGCTCGTTCCACTCCGAGGAGCGAATGTAGATCTCGGGTGGGCGTGTGACCATCAATTCAAGATGAGGGTTGATCATGCGCTTGTACTGTTTGGTGTTGCGAGTACTTGGTCGCATAGCCCTCAACCCGATC